AGACAAGTGTAAAATATTCAATAATATACTTAGGGAAACAAATAATAAGGGAACACATGAAAGCACAAGTGTTCCTTTATTTCTTTCCAGATTAATTAATAAACTTTGTATCGCACTGTGTGTGAAGAAATTTGGAAAAAATAAAGGAACACTTGTGCTTTTACGTGTTCCCTTATTTGTTTCCCAAAGTATATATTGAATAAACAATGAGCAAGTTACAATGAATGGCAGTACAGATTTCTAATACCATGTAATTGAGTCACAAATCTAAAATATTTTGGCTCACTAGAGTCTTGACATTCACAGTGAGAACAGATGTATTGACCGAAGGTTGTTGACAATGAAAGCAGTTGAAAAGACAGGCACGGTCTGTCTTGAAACGTTGATAAACTCGATGATGGCAGACTGATGTGTATAAATCCGAAGTCCCGTAAGACAACTCAACAATCATCCTTCATATAGCTCTTGCACAGTTCTCGAGCATTATAGCAAAGCTAGGCTACATCACTACCCTCTGAGAACGTTATAGAATGCCATAGAAAACACAAGACACCACGAGAACATCACCAGAAGTCAAAACAAACAATCCAGCCAAGGGCAGGTAACTCCAAAGCGCTATCTCAAAAGGCGTACCGCTAAAACCCACACTCAAAAACTTTAAACTTTGTGACCCATAATAACTATCAGTTAATCAATGTGATATTACAACTTACCAAAACACACTCTCATAACACTACTTACAACTACATATCATAAGCCCTACTTTCAGTCATGGTGATTAGTCGTAGTGAATGCGTAAACGGTACCAACTCTACGTAAGTCTGCATGACAAGTTAGTAACGATTTTTATCATTTTATCCATGACTGTTATCCACGAGCTGTGAAGGTTATGTCTACCTTATCGTAGATAGTGATGTATTAGGTGTGGTGTTAGACATTCATGATGACATTCATAACTCATCTGTAATGAACACAGACAGATTTATTAAATAATAATTAACTAATATGCCACTTGCGCGAGCGGTAATGGTTATGCCTACCTTATCGTATCTGACCAGCAAACGGAACGCAATTCAAGAAATCAAAACAATTGTATTAAAGTATCAAATCCAAACTCATGCTGAAAAAGTATAATTTTCATGAATTTTGTGTTGCGTTCTTATTGCTGGTCAGTATAGATAGTGACGATGCTTTCTGTGTGGTGTCAGACATTCATGATGACATTCATAACTCATCTGTAATGAACACAGACATATTTATTAAATAATAATATTAAATAATATCCCACTTGCACGAGCTGTGATGGTTATGTCTACCTTATCGAAGATAGTGACGATGCATTCTGTGTGGTGTTAGACATTCATGATGACAGGTATAACTCATCTGTAATGGTCACAGACAGATTCATTAAATACTATGCCACTTGCGTCAAATACAGACAGTTTACCAGTCATACGCTTTTTACAAATATGTTTTGTATCTAAAAACATCTTGATGAATAAACATCAATGTAAAATATTGAATATTGCAATATGTGAAATAGTCCTTAATATCTAGAACTGAGTCAACAACAATTGTTAAAGACGTTTATGAAGATATATTTAAATTTTATATCCACATGTCTGAGATATTAAAATATTTTTCAGTATGACATAATGTTATTATTATTTATTGCAAGGACAACCCTACCAAACGGATTAGCAAAAGCCTCATCTACTTTCAGGTATTAATGTATTGCGCAAAATCATCTTAAAACAGCGTCAGGTGACGCGTGACAATTAAATTATTATTATATATTAGCATTATCAAAAGCATTCTTTCCCCTCGGCCATAACCCTGAAAGGTTATTGCGGCTCCATGGGGCGTTATGGGTAGATTCAAGGTCCTCGTTGATGCCGCTTTATGGGTCACCGATATGAAACCGGGTTATCATGACCCCGCTGAGGCCACAGAGGAACACAGTGTTCTACTTACCGTTGGTAACATTGTATAATGGCGTTCTATTAAACCTGATTGTTGAAGAGGTCAACAGGTGTATCATATTTCTAATTGCGAATAGGGCATATATATATATTTGTATAATGTGCGTAGCACGTGTGACGTGCGCGTTTACCATTTTATCGCTGATACAATAAACACTGTGTCTATTCTGCTGATCTCATTGGCACAATACATCCGCAACCGCCATTATTGACGTCCACCGGAATCCTGCTTACTATTCATTTCTAGTGTGATCATTCTTAAAAATGATATTTATCCCAACAGAAAAGGGGAGATGGGGTAGCCTAGTGGTTAAAGTGTCCGCTCGTCACGCCGAAGACCCGGGTTCGATTCCCCACATGGGCGCAATGTGTGAAACCCATTTCTGGTGTCCCCCGCCGTGATATTGATGGAATATTGCTAAAGGCAATATATCAAACTCACTCACTCACACTCGTTATTTCAAAACTACATGCACCTGCCAAACTGATGGTTCTAATACTTACAGTAGGTCTAGTTTATATGAGAACCACTTGTGTCATGCATTAATATAGTTATGCATACTTTATTACTTTACTTTTAATATAGACTATATATACTTCAATGATATGGTACCCGTGAAGGTTCGGGTTAGAATATTGATCTTCAGTAACCCATGCTTGTCGTAAGAGGCGACTAACGGGATCGGGCCGACCAGGTCGACACATGTCATCGGTTCCGAATTGCGCAGATCGATGCTCATGATGTTGATCACTGGGTTGTCTGGTCCAGACTCGATTATTTACAGACCGCCGCCATATAGCTATAATATTGCTGAGTGCGGCGTACAACTTAACTCACTCACTCATTCAATGATATGGCCCCAAAAAGGGACGCATGTTGACTTAATCATCAGGTCACCAATCTAAGTTTCTGACGAAGATAAATGAAAGATTATCAAAGTATTGACCTGGCTTTCGTGAGATTATACCATAAGTACACTTCATAGCCTATCTTTACCCGTGGAAAGGTATCATAAGGTTACAGAAATAAAATACCTATTTGTGATTGGCACGGTTGGGCAAACTCTATGAACATGTACATTCTTTTAAATATTGCTCAGTGATTGGATAAAATACTTGCAAATACTGTTACCGAGACCAGTGTGAATGAGTGAGTGAGTCAGTCTGTCAGTCAGTATTGGGACCAGATAAATATGTTAAAACAATAAAGTTAAAAAGCCATTGTTTTGAAATATGTTGGAGAATGTATCGCGTGGTAGGTTAGTCAGTCATAATCGCATTCTCTTGTTATGCTAAGATGCTGTTTGATGCGATGTCGACCTGTAATCTTGTGATTGATTTTATATTCTATCGATATCTTGCTAACACAGATTCTGAAGCAGCAAATATGAAGATCCATTTGCTGACGTGTATAAACAGATTACATCGCCAAACCAACTAGCGATTTTCGTCAGATCTAAGAATTTGGGAAACATTTGCCGAGAAATATTTGTTCTATCTGGCAGCAGCAAATGAGCAAACACTTTATAGTATTAGGCCGCCTCCGTGGTGTAGTGGTTAGAGCGTCCGCCCGGAGAGCGGAAGGTCGCGGGTTCGATCCAAGACCGCGTCATCCCAAAAAACGTTAAAATATGGTACTTGTTGGTCCCTGCCTGGCGCTCGGCATTAATAGGTACAACATGGACTGTATAATGTGTCTGAGTGGGGTATTCATGCTTAACTGCGGCATGGTATCTCAGTGGGCTAGCACTGTAAAACCAGCTTAAGTCTGGGCTAATACCAGCAGCCACACATACACACACATGCACGTCGTCATATGAGCGGAATATTCTTAAGTACGACGTTAAACCCCCATTTCACCTCACCTGTATAATATTAGCGATCTACTTGACAAATAACATGTAGAAGTCCTTTTCCTCCTGTCTGGTGCCAAAAATAAATATGAAATTTATTAACAAAATGATCCAGAGTGTAATCTTTTCATTGAGAATCCTCCCATTTTATAACATAGCCCAGACATTATCGACAGCAAATAAATTGAGTTGAAGGTCCACTGGCTGTTGCATTACTTAATTATATACAAGACATAAAGATCAAGAAAGGCATCACCTGATATTGATCAGATGACGGTTATGGTATGAAATGATAGATCACTGAAACAGAAGGAAGAAATATTAAAGTGCTTTGTGATACTCGTGGTTCCTGGATATTGGTTGGTTGGAGATCATCTACTGAAGGGAGGAATTGGGTTTAGCAAATAAAGATGCATAAAAAGAGGCATAAAAGATAATGATCGATAAATGAATTAAACATGTCAAAATTTAATTCTGGACTCGAATAAGCCCAGAAACTCTCCGCACTATGGCCCCTTTCTGATAAAGGATTTGACAAGATTAAACATGCAGTTGTTATGAATATATGAATAGAAAAAAGAATAATAGAAACATGAAAAAGTTTGTTTTCGAAAACTTGAAATATAAACTCGTTCGCCCATGGGCCGGCCAATGGGCGAGAATGTTTAGTTTAGCTCAAAATTCATGTTTTGGAGTTTGTAAATGAATGCAAGTATGTTTATAAGTATCATGACAGAAAATTCAACTCATTTTGACTTAATTTGGCTAATTTAGAGTGATATTAAAATATCTCGCCCATAGGCGAGAATATTTACTTTAACTCAAAATACATGTTTTCCCATGTTTTGGAGGTTATAAATGAATGAATAACAACTGCATGTTTAATTTTGGCAAATCCCTTGTCAGAAAGTGGCCACAGGGCTGAGAGCTTTTGGACCTTTGTGAGTCCAGAATTAGATTGTGACGTGTTATTAGCTTTTTATCATGAATACCTATACCTGTTCGTAAGCAGGGAACTAGGATACAATATGAACATGACTGACATAAGTTGTAGGTTGACAGACATAACAGTACACAAATACAAACATGTATACCACCTTATGAAGCCTTCATAAGAAACCTCCATTTGCGATTACAGTCAGAGAGACCTTCCTAGCAAAGTAGAATGGGTCACAGGGAAGAGGTTACAGATGAATTGATCTTCTTCGTCAATGGTCTTAAAGTAAGTATAATTTGAGATAAGTATGCTGCAAATATTTAAAATCGTAATTGTCCATCTACTCAGCCGATAACGATTCTCTAAGAAATACTGAATTAATACGTTGTCTTGTACACAGTTTACACATTTTATTCAATGTCGAGTAGACCACCTATTTCTTCGTTGTTGTCACATTGGTCCCTTGAGCAAAAAATTGTCCACTAATTCACCCTGTGGATTTTTATCATTGTCAACTTCATATGTTTACAGATCGTTGAACAGAATCCCGATCCTCGTGTCACACTCCTACAGTATTTGAGAAATAGACGTAAGTTCAGCCATGCACAATGTTTACTTTAATCCGAGAGAAAAGATGTGCTCAAGTTTTCTACGATAAAAGGCTAAACATTCAAAGCCTAATCTACCTAAGGAGGTTGTTCAGTCCACTCGTAACAGTTTGCATCTGATAGGCTGCATTTAAACAAATTCATAACTCTAACATACAAGTGACTAGGTATCCTCTGTTGAATATAAATGGTCCTAATTTGCTATGGTGCTGTCAACAAATATCTCCAGCTGAAAGGACATACAAGTGAACAATCACCCATACGGATATGTTGTCAAACTTTCCAGTGTTAAGGGCAGACAGAGGTGTTTAAGAGGGGAATAGAGAACCTCGATGATGCTCCAAGACCAGGATGTCTTTCTACTGTCACCTGTTTCGGAAAAGGTTGATAAAATACAAGACATGATTATGCATGATCCACGACTCACCACAAGCAACATTGCCAATGTCGTGTGCATCTTTCATGAGAGGAATGAACTGGATATGACAAAGCTTACAGCTCGCTGGGCGCCAGTGCTTTTCGCTTCTGATCAGAAACGCACCAGGGTCATCATCTCTTGTGAGAATATTTCGTCCATTTGTGGCCCACCCAGATGATTTTGCCAAGCGATCTGTAACAATGGGTCAATATTGGTTCGCGAATATCAGCCATTTTAACGACTCCTTTTCCGAGGAAGGCAAAGTCAGTTTCGTCAGCTTGCATGGATATGGGTGAGGTTTTCTTTGATTCCAGAGGATACCAAATTGTTGACCACACTCGGAATAACAAGGCTAAATGTCGTGGAAAACGTACAGTGTTGTAGCACCTGGACAATGCACATGTTCTCGAGGCTGTCATTGCTATATCTGCAGTCGATAACTGTTGCCCATCCCAACAAAACTTGTCAATACTTTTAGGGAAGCTCTTCCAAAAAACCTTCTGCCTAGCATTGTGCGAAGGATGGCGCCATTTCCTCGTGGAACGATTTATAACGCTACTAAGAAATCGAAATCATTCTGAACCAGGCACATTAGCTTTGTTGGTAGAAGTGTTTGGAACGTGGAAGTAGTGTGTGTAATGTTGATAATTACCATACATATCCATCGAAGAAGTCCATTGCATTTCGGCTCATGGCGTTTTCGCCATCATTTATACACCCGAATTGATAATGTTGACGAAGACCCCGATCATCATAGGTCAGCTATGATTTTCACCCATTCACCATGTTTATCAGTGATGGCATTTGGTGGATCATATGGTGTAATTGCCTCCAAGGCACCAATGGCTGAGTGAGTTTGACCATTATCAGTACAAACGCATATTTCGAAATGTGTCAGCAAATGCAAGTAGCTTATTGTTACACGTGTGCCTTGTAGGACAAGCAATTACATGATACTATTTTCGATTAAATAACATACTTCCCTACATCCTTCCAGTTACGTGTATTCTATATGTATCTGCTAACTTGTTTTTGTTGTTGAAATCATAATTATTGTACATGCTACAGTACGTCTGACGGGCAGCAAGCTAGGATGTGGCGAGGGCGGATGTGGGGCATGCACTGTGATGGTGTCCCGATACAACAGTCACACCGACACTATATCGTATCCTTTGAAGTGGAAATACTTCTACAACAACACCGGTACACCGTGTATACATATTGGCTATTATAAGCTGTATATAGGGATGTAACTTAGTGAAGAATGTTCAGAAGTCCCGAAAGCTTCAATGACCTTAACAAAACAGCCATTACTCAGTGAATGCGTGCCTGGCTCCCGTCTGTTCTCTCCATGGCCTGGCTGTCACTACAGTAGAGGGTGTATAGGCAGCACCAAGACCAGGCTACACCCAGTACAGGTAAGTCTGTTCTCTCCACGGTCTGGCTGTCACTGCAGTAGAGGGTACAGGCAGCACCAAGACCAGGCTACACCCAGTACAGGTAAGTCTGTTCTCTCCATGGTTTGGCTGTCACTACAGTAGAGGGTACAGGCAGCACCAAGACCAGGCTACACCCAGTACAGGTAAGTCTGTTCTCTCCATGGTCTGGCTGTCACTGCAGTAGAGGGTATAGGCAGCACCAAGACCAGGCTACACCCAGTACAGGTAAGTCTGTTCTCTCCATGGTTTGGCTGTCACTACAGTAGAGGGTACAGGCAGCACCAAGACCAGGCTACACCCAGTACAGGTCAGTCTGTTCTCTCCATGGTCTGGCTGTCACTACAGTAGAGGGTATAGGCAGCACCAAGACCAGCACACCCAGTACAGACCAGGCTACACCCAGTACACCAGGCTAAGTCTGTTCTGTTCTCCCATGGTCTGGCTGTCACTACAGTAGAGGGTATAGGCAGCACCAAGACCAGGCTACACCCAGTACAGGTAAGTCTGTTCTCTCCATGGTTTGGCTGTTACTACAGTAGAGGGTAGAGGCAGCACCAAGACCAGGCTACACCCAGTACAGGTAAGTCTGTTCTCTCCATGGTTTGGCTGTCACTACAGTAGAGGTACAGGCAGGCAGCACCAAGACCAGGTTACACCCAGTACAGGTAAGTCTGTTCTCTCCATGGTCTGGCTGTCACTACAGTAGAGGGTATAGGCAGCACCAAGACCAGGCTACACCCAGTACAGGTAAGTCTGTTCTCTCCATGGTCTGGCTGTCACTGCAGTAGGCAGGACCAGGCTACACCCAGGCAGCACCAAGACCAGGCTACACCCAGTACAGGTAAGTCTGTTCTCTCCATGGTTTGGCTGTCACTACAGTAGAGGGTATAGGCAGCACCAAGACCAGGCTACACCCAGTACAGGTAAGTCTGTTCTCTCCATGGTCTGGCTGTCACTGCAGTAGAGGGTACAGGCAGCACCAAGACCAGGCTACACCCAGTACAGGTAAGTCTGTTCTCTCCATGGTCTGGCTGTCACTGCAGTAGAGGGTATAGGCAGCACCAAGACCAGGCTACACCCAGTACAGGTAAGTCTGTTCTCTCCATGGTCTGGCTGTCACTACAGTAGAGGGTACAGGCAGCACCAAGACCAGGCTACACCCAGTACAGGTAAGTCTGTTCTCTCCACCACTACAGTACAGGCAAGACAAGGTTACACCCAGTACAGGTAAGTCTGTTCTCTCCATGGTCTGGCTGTCACTACAGTAGAGGGTACAGGCAGCACCAAGACCAGGCTACACCCAGTACAGGTAAGTCTGTTCTCTCCATGGTTTGGCTGTCACTACAGTAGAGGGTATAGGCAGCACCAAGACCAGGCTTACACCCAGTACAGGTAAGTCTGTTCTCTCCATGGTCTGGCTGTCACTACAGTAGAGGGTATAGGCAGCACCAAGACCAGGCTACAGAAGTACAGGTAAATCTGTTCTCTCCATGGTCTGGCTGTCACCACCGTCAAGGGTTTGGGAAGCAGGAAGACCAGACAACACCCAGTACAACTAATATTTCCTCTGAAAGTCAATATTTCAATTAACCTTCTTAAAATGTATGCAAGACCGTGTTCATGTGACATGACAATGAGTCCCATTTGTTTCCAGGAACGCCTAGCTAAAGCCCACGGCTCTCAATGTGGATTCTGCACCCCAGGCATCGTCATGTCCATGTACACTCTGCTCAGAAACAACCCACAACCCACCCAACAACAGATAGAAGACAACTTTGACGGTATTACCAGGTTATGAGGGTTCCAAGCCTCACACTGTACAAGTGGTACCTGTATTTTGTATCGATCTCCTGTAACAGAATCGCTTCCCGCAATAATTTCATCGCAATACTCATCGAGGCTTAAGGTCAGGGCAAAACCAAAATATCCCGATGAAAAATAATTGATGGGTACGACTTCATCCATTTTCTGTCAATGCGTTCATGAATTTGGTATTTCTCTTTCCTATTTTTGTTTTAGTAAAAACGTGATACTGATAAACTTATTGGTAAGGAGTGGTTATGAATGTCTTGATGGTATTTTTCACTCATTGACAGGAAACCTGTGTCGATGTACAGGATATAGGCCAATTCTGCAAGGATTCGAGTCATTTACCAAGGTTGGCATAACTGTGTTTAGGAAAAAGTACTCTCTGAACAAATCCTCGCTTATAAATTAATTGAGTGAAAGATTAGTCAATAAATTTTTATTTGAATGTTCTGTAATTGACAAACATACTGGTCCTATTTCTATTATTTCTGTACGAAACACTGTTATATTGGCATTTCATAAATGCTGATGTAAAACAGTTTCCTACTTTATTTAAACTGATAATTTTGTTTTCGGTTAGGGTGTTTGTGGCATGGGCGAGGCGTGCTGCAGGAATAGAAATGGATCAACTCTCAACGGAACGCATGTACGTATTTCATAGCTGTATAATGTATACATTTGACGAGATTTGTGAACAGGTTTAGAAAAAATGATCGTGTGAATAATGATGAAAGTGATGATCAAGTTGTTTAAGATGTGTTTTAAATAACCAATGTCATTTTTCCTTCAAGAGTAATGCAAGCAGTAACGGATTCACTACCAATTCAGCTAACGGCGTTAATACACTGCCATACGACCCGTCTCAAGAACCAATCTTCCCTCCAGAACTCAAGGTAAGCTTTCTGTATTAATTTACACCTGCAACTTAGCATGTTGTTTGAAACTGAAAACCTTATAGAGACATAAGCGAGTTTTGTTCGTCTTCTACATCTGTTGTAGACGAGATCCAGATCTTTTGAAACCTCATTATGCTACAAAACTGACGGAATGACGTGGTACCGGCCAGTATGTTTGGAGGAGATGTATGATCTCAAAGCCAAGTTTCCTCAGGCTAAAATGGTTATTGGTAACACGGAAGTGGGTGAGTGTCTTGTTATGAACACTTCTGCTGATGTTACTATTTTTTTACATTCCGTGGGGAAGGCTAAACATGTGGCTGCTAAATCGTTCGCTCAACCTGACGAAGACCCGGGTTCGATTTCCCAAATGGGTACAATCTGTGATGCCAATTTCTGGTGGCATTCCCCATGGCGTTGCTGGAATATTGACAAGAGCGGTGTAAAAAACACTCACGCATTATTCTGAATCTGTTTTTTTTTCTGGAAGTAGAATAACCTGCCCCGAAAGTTTTAATTTCCATCCTTCATCTCATTGCGTTATATGTTTAATATTCAGACATATGCTAACTGAAGTATAACACTTGTTTTAGTTTAGGTATGACCTCGCTCTATTCGTCGTCAGACAAGTTCTGAATAGGGAATGTTCTTCTGCGTATATGTGCTAATGGACGCTAATTCTACAGTTAATATGATATTATATATGTAATACAAGACATGTCCAAGGAGTTAAGCAAACGCGTTTTGTCTCCTTCGTCAGGTATTGAACTAAAGTTCAAGAAGATGGACTATCCCGTGCTGATAGCGGCTACTCACATACAAGAGCTGATGGACATTCGGGTCACGGACACAGGGTTGGTGTTCGGTGCCTCGGTCACTCTCTCATCCCTGGAGTCAGCCTTGAGGACGGCTGTAGCCGAAAGACCAGGTGAAAGAAGAACTCATCGATAGAATCAGTTCAAATTCTGAAGAAATATAAGCATGTGTTATCGTTTGTGATGTATTGGTTTTATATGTGTCTTCACCTTCTCAAATATATCTTAACAAATGATACCAAAAAAGGTTAATTCAGTAAATAATAATTTCGCTCTTCAAACAGATTTAACACAATGTCTTCAAAACTGTTTTGCATTCTTGCACCATTCTACTTTTACCATGTTCTCACTTCTACACTTTTGATTATTACTGTGAATTTTCGATACCCCGGATGTTTTCCTTATTAAATTTGGTACCATGAAAGCTAAAGCCTACGTATTTTCAGAACATCAATAATTTATCCAAAGAATATATTTGTTTGAACCTGACGTTTTGATTGTGTGGTAATCTTATGTTTTAGGTGAATTTGTATTTCAAACCCAGGTGTATTTAACAAAATGAGTTGTTGATCTATGTCGGTCAGTGGGCTCTGTGGTCCAAGTTCGAGTATTAATTTTGAATAAAAAATAGAAAAATATATGAATAAATAAAATCAATAAGCTGAGTTATTCTTTTCAAACAAATAAAACTTGCTGATGTATCTATACTTGTTTGTCTCTCCAGAGTCTCAAACTCGTGTCTTCGCGTCTATCCTTGAAATGCTGCGATGGTTCGCTGGTCATCAAATCAGAAACGTAGCGGTGAGCGCTTTATCATGAACATCAAACATTCATTCATCGCAGTGTAGTGGTATGGTATTTACTTTCAACACTCAAGCTGTGTGAATACATTTAGAGCATGATAACAAATTTGCCCACAGGCTACACTGACTGAAACACTGACTGACTGAGTTTGATTTTACGCCGCTTTTAGCAATATTCAAGCAACATCACGGCGGGGGACACCAGAAATAGGCTTCACGAATTGTACCCATGTGGGGATTCGAACCCGGGTGTTTGGCGTGACGAGCCAACGCTTTAACTACTAGGCTACCCCACCGCGCCCTGACTGAAACAAGGCTTGTTTACTTCAGAGTATTGGCGGAAACATCATGACCGCCAGTCCCATCTCTGATCTCAATCCGCTCTTCGTCGCAGCTGGGGTACAGCTTACCGTTGGATCTAAAGGTACTGTGCACGACTTGGAGTGTGTGTTGCAATCTGATGAAGAATTTGAAATGAACAGGTCCCAATTCCCAAGCAATGATGAAAGAGTCAATAAACGGTTTAACACTTTAAGTGACCCGTGACCTGATCCAAAAAACGTTCGTAGCGCTGCGTCATTTGCAACCTTACGATAAACTATAGAGTTACGACAGGTCGTAACGTTATGAACGCTCTATGGATCGGGACCATGTCTCATAGTTGTACCGCTGTGATGGTGTAAACTCCCATGCTGAAAGTATGCTTGCGATAAGCCGGACCTGGCTAATCCTGAGTCGAATTCAACATGCATGATGCTTCTGATGTTCGCGGTGTTAAGATAACAAGATGTTGTAATATAGATGGAATATTGCAGGCTCTGACGAGCCAAACATTCCTTCTTTCACAGGTATTGTAACCTAACAGCCAGTAATTTTGTCAGTGTGGTATTCGTAGGATTGTAGACGCATTTCGTTATACATGCACGTTTAACATCTAAGGAAACTATGTTTTCTTTTAGCAAAAGGAACCCGTGTGGTTAAAATGGATAAACACTTCTTCATCGGATATCGAAAAACAGCTATATCTGCAGATGAAGTTCTTATTTCTGTCCATCTACCGTATACTTCTGAAGTAAGTTTTGGATGTCGTATTCTTCTGGGTCATCTAGGTATATAACATGATAATCATTTTAGATTTATGCTTAATTTATAATTATTAAGTACGGAATCGGGTGGTCAGGCTTGCTGACTTGGTTGACACATGTCATCGTATTTCAATTGCGTAGATCGATGCTCATGCTGTTGATCACTGGATTGTCTGCTCCAGACTCGATTATTTACAGACCACCGCCATATAGCTGGAATACTGTTGAGTGCAGCGTAAAACTAAACTAACTCATTATCAAGTAACGTCAATGCTGCCTTCATTAGACTATTTTTCCCGATAAAATACATAACTTTGTTAAAAATACTTCTAAAGAATGCTTCTAAAGTTTCGAAAACAAACGTCGTTTCAACACCCTATCCAATTTCATTACACAGAAACAAAAATAGTAAATTACGGTTATAACGAACGTAAAGGGACCACATATTTCAGTTCGATATAACCGCATTTCAAATATCAGTGCTCTGGACAAAGAAATCCATCAGTTCGTCATTAGCGTGTTCGTTTTAAACGTAGTTTACTTTACTACACAATCCGTTTCGCCTTCAGAACGAGTACTTCAGCGGCTTCAAACAGGCACATCGCAAGGATGACGACATCTCCATAGTAAACGCTGGCATGAGGGTAGAGTTTTTGGAAAGGACAAACGTCGTAAGGGAGATAACTCTTGCATATGGTGGCATGGCCCAAACAACAATTCTCGCCCCGAAGACGATGGAGGCTCTAGTGGGATGGTATGTGCACATGGTAACGTATTTTTAAATTGCCAAGTTAACTTTCAGGTATCGTGAATGGAAACTGTAATTTGTAACCATGCCTATTTCATTATTCTTGAAATTTGTCCATGTTGATAAGTCTCTTTCAGTGCCTGGAATGATGAGCTTGTAGACAAGGCTTGTCGAACTCTGGAGAGTGATCTCCCCCTTGGAACCCGGCTCACCAGGTGGCATGGTAGAATACCGCCGTACACTCACAACCAGCTTCTTCTTCAAGTTTTATCTGTCTGTCTCGAAGAGACTTATTGAGAAGGTACTTGTATAATGCTTTTATTCACTTTATAATTGCGCAGGGCAAACGTCGATACTACTTACTAAAGCCCAAACACTTGTCAATATTGACATATTTTCTTTCTTTGGTATAACAGCTGTATACGTAAACGGGGGGCGGTGGGGTAGCCCGGTGGTTAAAGCGTTGGCTCGTCACGCCGAAGACCCGGGTTCGAATCCCCACATGGGAACAATGTGTGAAGCCCATTTCTGGTGTCCCCCGCCGCGATGTTGCTGGCATATTGCTAAAAGCGGCGTAAAACCAAACTCAGTCAGTCAGTCAGTATAAGTAAACGGGTTGTGTCCTTCCTTTCTCACACTTAAAGGGGGCGGTGGGGTAGCCTAATGTTTAAAGCGTTGGCTCTTCACGTCGAATACCCGGGTTCGATCCTCCACATGGGCACAATGTGTGAAGCCCATTTCTGGTTTCCCCCGCCGTGATATTGCTGGAATATTGCTAAAAGCGACGTAAAACCCAACTCACTCAACTCACTCACTCACTCACTCACACTTAAAGGCTAATGCCATTGTAACCTGTGTTGTTACTTTCTAAACACAAATATCCAAGATACAGGTTTGAATGAGTTATGGTATATTTTAAAGAAGATTGTGTGAATAGCTTTTAGTTCAGATATTCACAATTGGTTTCCATAATATATGAGGTGTTTTAGTGTGTTTACTCGCACTCAGCAATATTCCAGCTATATGGCGGTTTAGGTCTTTTAGTTAACCTGAAACAATTGATTGAGTTAACTTTAGTTTTAGCAATATTCCAGCTATATGGCGGCGGTCTGTAAATAATCGAGTTTGGACCAGACAATCAAGTGATCAACAGCATGAGCATCGATCTATGCAATTGGGATACGATGACATGTGTCAACCAAGTCGGCAAGCCTGACCACCCGATCCCGGTAGTCGCCACTTACGACAGGCATGGGTTACTGAAGATCAATTCAAACCCGGATCTTCACAGGTCAACCTGAAAGAAAGAATCACATACGGAGGGAATTCGAAAAAACCCAATGGTGTTCCCATTTGAACTGGTGTATGCGTGCGTGCTGGTGCCCGTCCTTAGCGCTAAGACTACCTTAAGTCTATGTTTTGGTATAGGAGTTCCTGTCACCTTAGCGGACACCTAGATGTACATACCAGTTGAGCGTATCTTTAATGCTTAACAATGAAGGATTATAATGCTGAAAACTGATGAAATTAAACATACTAGTATTTCATAAATTTGTAGGGACATCACGCAAACAACAAAGTTGTCTCAGAGATTGTGTCGGGTAATGGCGGCATCTCCCGGGCGGTCAGTGAGGGGATCCAGGTGTTCGAGCCAGTACCGGACGGGCAGTCGCTTGATGACGCTGTAGGGAGGCCGCTCGTACATGTTTCTGCCCTACAACAGACGACAGGTGAAGCTGTGTATGTTGATGATCTCCCGAAGCACGAAGGTAAGTAGGTTCAGGTCAACTATAATGAGTGGTGCAGAGAGAAAGGAGTATGTTTTGCCAAGGTTTTGACTGGTAATGGCAGTGTATGAAATAAGCTAAAATCCCAGCAAGACATCAGGGCTGGTAACTTGAAAATGTTATCAGCGCAAAATGGATTTAACCAGACCAGACACCAAGATTGGTGAATTTACTCAGATGTATGGAACATCTAAACATTTTCCCAGACCATCGGGCTGGCTAACTGTAAACTTAGACTGCCTGTCAGAAATCTAGCCCGTCGCGGTCGGTCGGACGGACTTTATTTCATACACTAGTAATGGTCCATAGTTGCGTTGGTAGGTTTATTCATCTGACGAAAGAGAATTTTGAAAATCACCGCAGCAAGACTCCATTTTATTGTGAGAAATAACGCTGGTGACAGAATTTAAGCTGGAGCTGAAACTGAGAATGAGATACAGGACGGGCAAGGCATTTTAACGTTGCCCACATCACAATTGCTTGACATTGCCGTGGGCGTGATGTCGGCAATATGCAATGCATCACCACAGACATGCCAACATTCAGAAGACCGGCATCAACATAGCAGCGCTGGATTGCTTCATCAATGTGTCAAAAGTATTGCCCATATTTTAACGTTTTGTCCAAATAATGTTCTATAATCGTATCTTTCAGATGAACTCTACCTTTCCATGGTGATCAGTACCAAACCCCACGCCCGCCTTGTGACAGTGGACCCTTCAGAAGCACTGAGTCTGCCCGGTGTAGTCGACTATATAGACTACAGAGACATCACTGGTAATAAAAGATGGGGAGCCACCGGATCCTATGAAGAAGAGATCTTTGCAGAAAATGAGGTGAATAAAATACGAACTTTTTCTAAATAAATTTGATTAATTCAAACAATGTGAATTCATAAAAGATGCAAACCAAAGAACCATTTCCCTGACACCCATACCAGTACATGTGCACCTATCATCAAGAGATCCAATGCCGATTTATCTATGATTATAATTAGATAAGACACATCTCTATGTTGTCAATATACTGTTACGATCAATAAAGGTTTAAAAAGGATTTTACACCTTTAGTTTCTAGTAATAATTGCTATCTTACAACCGTCAGTGAAGTATGACAGTTGAGGTTATGACCGCCAACGATCTTGAAGGGCCATAAGACCACGGTAATACCGCCACAATTTGACAAATACTTATTAACTCGTCGAGGCATACTGCGTATGAATCTCGCATGGACGAATTCAGGGTTTCCTTCCTACTCCTCTTGAAGAGCCTGACCAAGTTCAGTCGTGGTGGTCGGCGGCCTAAGATGTTGCCGCACAGGTTTCGCTTCTATTACGCAGACATGTTCAATGGGGAAATAATATGCGATTTTCGGGTCATGTCATTCTACGGAGCTTGTAATGCTGATGTCATCGTCGCCCTCAAAGACAAAACATCTTTCTCAAACCCAACAACAGAGACTTTCAACATGTTATTCCCGACAGTACTTTAAAGTGATCCTTATATGCCCATTGGGTTTCGTTCTGTCGTAGTTATGCCAGATCATACCATACTCGATTTACCGCCAAATATCGAGGAATGGAGTAAATCAAATTGTTTGATAAGTAGAATCCACAAGAGTTGATGAATATTGTATCATTTTGAACTTAGTTTGAGTTATATTATTTCCAGGGAAAGGATTTGATCCTCGGGGTGGGAGATTTATCCTGAACGGAATATTCTTCATGCAACGATATTTGGTACTTCAGAGTGTTTCAGCTCAATGCAATTCGAAGTGATTCTGTCCTCTAACAGAATCGCTGAGAAATTTGAAGAGGTGATACGATCCAGCCACACTTGTAGCAAATTTGGCTCACTGCATATTCAGAATGTATTGCTATTTTTGATTCATCAGAAGATAATTTCTGTTCCAATTGTAGGTTCTTTGTCAAGGGCAGATAATTGGCGCCGTGGTTGCCGACACACAAGAGCGGGCTCGTTGTGGTGCAGATAAGGTGAAGATTGTGTACGAAGAACACAAACCGATCATCACAATAAAGGTATATGATCACAACAAAACAGAAATGGTTATCCAAAGATATCAAACGAGAGAATTGACAAATTTCTTTTCTTTCTGACAACAGTTCACGCATTCGTGAACATTTGCGTAACCTCATCCTTCTTAAGAATAGACCTTGCATGTTGGCATAAGTAATAATGGTGAAATACATAATGTCATGTTTCTACATTTCACCTCCAGGAAGCCGAAGCAGCCAAGTCCTTCTTCGATAAAGTGATCAGTTTGTCACGTGGTGACCTTGAAGTCGGTTTCAGCCAATCAGATCACTTCCTGGAAGGGGAGATTGAGATCGGATCTCAGGAACACTTCTACCTGGAAACACAAGCAGCTGCAGCTATTCCCAGTAGGGAAGAGGGTGTCATGGAAGTGTACACTAACTCACAGTTCCCGTCTCATATACAGGTATATTTGTAAATACACTCATCGGAATGTAACTATCTCTTTCCATGTCTCATTCATTATCTCGATGCCATGAAAATCTGGCTCAGAATTATACGTATACTAATTACATAGATAGATATGGAATATAGATTGAGTACGTGGGATCGAATCAGTGTTCGGTACCGATCCATACCATGCACGGTTCGCCAAGCTCACAAGAGGTTTCCAAAATTGACAAACGTCTAAAATCTGTGCCATTTTGAGCTTTCCTTTCACACGAACCCGCGTAGATCCGGGTTACATTTGATTTTCAGCAACCCATGCTTGTCGTAAGAGGCGACTAACGGGATCGGGTAGGCAGGCTCGCTGACATGGTTGACAAATGTCATTCTGTTGCTATTACGTAGATCGATGCTCATACCGTTGGTCACTGGATCGCCTGGTCTCGACTCGATGAATGACGTTTTGTCCAAGGTCATTATTTAAGTATGACCGATCGTAAGTTTCAGACACACCAAGAAGACAAATGTTGCATGACTAATACCGGCGCTTTAGTTAACTGGTCCACCCTAACCAATCATGTGTCTTAAAGCAGTATACAGTGAATTACTGTGATATGTATCAGGAATATGCATGATTTAGTCAGAAACAAAACACCCACGATTAACAAAAGTAAGACCAACGTTTTAGCCTGATAACGTTGAGGTGAAGATATGTAAAATTTGTATGTAAATGTGAAAGTGTTGCATAGCTACTTGGCATAATTATTATGAACATGTACATATATAAAAAGTTGGTATATTAACCCTTCTAGATTTAAGCAGTGCCTTTGATACCATCGGCTATGACAAACTCATCCATCGTCTCAGGGGTGATTTCTCCATTGACGGAACGGCTCTTACTTGGTTCCAGTCGTATCTATCGGGTCGTGTTCAGACCGTCATAATGGATGGTCATTACTCTGACTCGGCCAGCATCAAGTATGGTGTTCCACAGGGGTCGGTCCTAGGACCAGTCCTGTTCACATTGTATATAACAGAGCTCGGAAGCGTAATTGATGAGTACCGTATGAATCGTCATCACTATGCAGATGATGCACAGGTTTACAGATGCTTCACTCCTGACAAGGACCAAACAGATATTGCCTCGAGAGACATGTCCCAATGCTGTGTCAGTATCAAATCCTTGATGCTAGTAAATAAACTTGAATAGCAGCAAGACCGAATCTATTCTCCTGGGTCCAGTGAAACGGAGGGATCTGTGTGCTATTGATTCCTTCGAGTTCGACAACTCATATATTCCTTTCGCAGATCAAGTCAGAGATCTTGGTGTAATCCTAGACTCCAATTTGTCACTTGACAATCATGTCTCTAATCTAGTTAAGACCTGCTTCATCTCACTCCGGAACATTGGCAATATCCGTCAATACCTGACAACTGAAACAGCAACAACTCTTGTTCTATCCCTTGTCATGAGCAGACTTGACTATTGCAACTGTCTGTTGAACGTGCAACCAAGTCTCAGATACGAAAGCTACAAAGAGTCCAGAATGTAGCAACACGCATTGTGACAAGATCCAGGAAAATGATCATATCACTCCTCTTCCATACTTTCTACACTGGCTGCCCGTGGATTTCAGAATTGAGTTTAAACTTCTCTGCCTTGTCTTTATTTATCCAGTCTTCTTTCTCTGTACAAGCCTTCTCGTTCGCTCCGTTCACAAGATAAAAGTTTTCTTCTTGTCCCTAAAACTAAAACAGTGCAGTATTCAAACATATCCTTTGCCTATGCAGCACCAGTGGCCTGGAACAGACTTCCACAGAATCTCAGGGACTGTACTGACTTTGTCACTTTCAAATCCCAGTTAAAAACACAATTGTTCAGGACAGCCTTTTCAACTATAACTCTGTAATTTGTTATATTCTATCTGCGCTTTGAGCATGGACTGCATGGATACCAGCGCATTACAAATGTGTTATGATGATGATGATGATGATGATGATATACACGTGTTAGTGATCTTTAATATGTTGCAGCACGCAGTAGCAGAAACACTGGGAGTGAGAGCCAACAGAGTGATTTCTCGTGTTAAAAGAATAGGTAGGTTGCAATACCGGGTTGTCCCATTGAGAATCGCTGGTTAGAAGAGATCCCGAGGAGATCTATGCTGTTGTAAGACGTGACCATAGGGATCTGTCTGTTAGGCTCGGTGATTTGATTGCCGACAGAGTTGATTGTTCACAATTTAAATCACAGGATTGTCTGGTCCAGATTCGACTGTGTACTCGATGGTTTTATACACGGTACATGAGTGAGGGCGACGTTAAACAGCAAAACGTGAAACAATAACAATATGGGTAGAAAACCTAAGTGACGATGGTCATTGACGTTTAAGATATATTGTTTGTTCAGTAAATGATTTTCTGTAAATACAATACCCTGTTAAATGACCTCTTGTTCATTGTGTTCTATACATTAGGTGATATAACCTTTTAAGTGACTTTTCTTGTTTTATTTTTCGACAGGAGGAGGATTCGGGGAAAACAAAGTCGAACTGTCTCAATAGCGCTACCAGTAGCAGTCGCAGCGCACAAGTACGTAATTAGCCTTCTTTAAATATTGAAGGTTAACGATCTTTGTCTTTTATCTGGGTAGTTTGCATATATGCAGAATATCAAATTCGTTTAAGAATTATGTTCACTCTTTGCAATCAGTATCTGTGGTAGATGAAAGGTGAACATATGTACATGTCTGTCTTTTTTGGGGCACCTATAAAAGCAAAATTACCGGGGCAGTCAAGATTACACTTTGTACCGTTTCATGACATATGTTTCGTCCGAAGGACTTGCGAAAGAAATGACAGAAATGAACCTATATTAGACATTCCTGTCATATGATATGTATACATTGAAGTGAATTGGCAGTTGCGAGTTGCTCTATTGAAATGGCATGATTAAATTATGCATACATTGTCAGATCTCAGAATCATAAACAAAATGCATCCAGACCAGTGAAGATCCGGGTTAGAATTCGTCTTCAGTAACCGTTGTTTGTGGTAAGAATCGACTAACGGCTTTGAGTGGTCAGGGTTGCTGACTTGCTTGACACATGTCATCGTATCCCAATTCCGTAGATCGATGCTCATGCTGTTGATCACTGGGTTGTCCGGTCCAGACTCGATTATTTACGGACTGCCACCATATAGCTGGAATATTGCTGAGCACGGTGTAAAACTAAACTCACTCACTCACTCAAAATGCATCCCGTTAATTAGCCACGCTTGGTACGATTTGTATCAGTAATAACGCCTTTAATTCTCCACGTCATGACATTCCAGACTTGGCCGACCGGTCCGCTGTATGCTGGACAGGGATGAGGACATGGTTATAACAGGAACACGCCACGCCTTCATCGGAAGATATAAGGTAGAACTGCGCGCATGTCAGTTGGGAAGTGATGTGCGTACGGGTTGTTTTTAACAACTCAGCTATTTTTGGAATATACGGATGTCGCCTATTTAGAATCTGTCTACGAGTAAATTCTTGTTTAGTGATGCAACTGTTGAGTTAGGTGCATTCGAAAGGTTGAATTGGATGAGAGAGAAGGGGGATGTGGTGGACATCGAACCCTATTCTCAGTGGTGGATGGAATGGTCATCAGTGCAGTAACCCAATCTCCATCAAAACCCACTTTACAGCAACCTCAGGGTATAGTTGGCTTTACTTATGATCATAATTAGTGTCTGCCCTTAACCCTGAAAACTGCAGGGCCTAAGGACCCAGAACCATAAAAAGTTGTGGGTCCTGATCAGAATGTGTGGGCCCTATATGTTGCTACTGTATAAGTAATTCCAAGCAAACAAGGCCATACGGGCATGCAGAAAAGAAAAGCTGTGGGTCCGAGTGGTATTCATTCGGCTTCGGGCCTGAGGACCGACGTTAATTTCGAACGCTGATCATAATACAGTACGTTAATTGGGCGGAGGTTAGTGCTTGAAGTGTACGCTCACTCCAAAGACCCAGGGTCGATTCCCCGCAATGGTACAGCGTGTAAAGGCCATTTACGGTCTGCACCGCCGTTATGTTGATGGCATGTTGCAGGGTTAATGGTAACTTTGTATCCGTTGTTTTCTAAATATGTGTTTATCTTACGGATAGTTGGACGTAAAACATGCTGTTATTTAAATGGATATGAAACATGTTTTTTGTTATTTTATTGATCACTGGCAAACTAGTAATAATAAACTGTGTTTGGGCCAACAGGTTGGGTTTACATCTTCGGGAAGAATTATGGCGTACGATGTGAAACTCTTCTCGAACTCAGGTTCCACCGTTGATCTTTCACCAGAGGTAATTAAATTGAAACCTTTCATATGTTATCAACTTCGTTCGATATAATGACAACATATTATTTAAATATGTATCGAAAGGTTCATAACTGAAGGGGCAGTGGGGTAGTCTTGTGGCTAAAGTGTTCGCTCATCACGCCGAAGACCCGGGTTCGATTCCCCACATGGGTACAGTGTGTGAAGCCCATTTCTTGTGTACCCTGCAGTGATATTGCTGGAATATTGCTAAAATAGGCTTAAAACCCTGCACACTCACTCACTCAATTGGAAGTTCGTCGTCGTCTTGAATCCAGATGGATTTCACATAGACTCTTTTACCCAGGTGATGACGAAGGCCGTGTCTGGTGTTGACAACGCCTACTTCATTCCCCACATCACCGTCGTCGGCCGGATGTGTAAGACAAACATCCCATCAGCAACTGCGTTCCGTGGATTCGGAGCACCACAAGGCATGTTTATGACCGAATCGGTCATCGACAAGATGGCCGACTTCCTCAATATACCTGGAGAAATGGTAAGGGGTGGACACTAACATAGAAAACCATGTTTCTGTCAGTAAACTGATTGCTTGTAACATGTTAGAATTCAGGGAGCCGATAGGGTAGCCTAGTGGTTAAAGTGTCCGCTGAAGACCCGGTTCGATTGCCCACATCTTGTGTTCTCACCGTATTGTTGCTGGAATATTGCTAAAAGCGGCGTAGAATTCTGGCATCGTTGTATTGATTTATATATGAAGCTGCAACATATGAATCATTGAATCATTATATCTTGTACATGTTGTGTTGCTGAGAGAATCTGACATTCCGTCTTCTTGAATTCAAAATTCGTATATTGTATATCATTTTTCAGTTCTACTTTATGGCATACAAAGTTATAAGGGCGGTGGGGTAACCATAGTGGTTAAAGCGTTCGCTCGTCACGCTGAAGACCAGGGTTCGATTCCCCACATTGGGTACATTGTGTGAACCCATTTCTGGTGTCCCCTGCCATGATATTGCTGGAATATTGCTAAAAGCGGCGTAAAACCAAACTCACTCACTCACAGATATAAACTGTACAATGCGTGTGAAATATATTTTTTTCAGATACGAAGTCAGAACCTGTACAAGGAAGGGGAGTTAACCCATTTTAACCAGGCTGTCACTGACGCGAACCTACCACGACTGTGGTCGGAATGTGTGTCACAAAGCTGTTTTACACAGAGACGTAAAGAAGTAGACAAGTTCAACAAGTACATTTCTCTTATTTATATAATATTATGTATGACCTGTTTGTTCTATCGTTTACACAGCTCGTGCATGCGATCAAAGAGGCCTAAACTGATCTACCTACTATTATGTGCCCAACAGAACACACATTTTAGAGTGAGTTTATAAATTTATAGTCACAGCGGCAGTATTTTAGCCATATCGTGACTAAAACAAGTTATTCATTCAAGACAAAATAGTTAAATTATAAAATCCTGTTGATAAAAGGACAGTCAAAACAACTGGAATGACACAGAAATAATTGACGTGATAGATCAGGCGGGCACTGGTTCGTTGACGTGCTCGATCGTACCACTGTGACATGGGATGTTGCCCAAAATCTCAAACACAAGTTGTATGGCAGAGACTGGAATCAAGTTTCAATGAGAGTGTTACAGTGACACAGAACTAAACAAACAAATTTGATATCGTCCACACAACATATTCATATTGGTAATACTTTAAAATGCATCAAGTGATCGTAGATAACCATGAAACGAGGTGACGACGTATGGGCTGTTCTGTTGCATGGGTTTTTAAAACTGCTTGACCATGTATTGTATACTAGACAGTGACAAGGGACAACACAGGACGTCCAGGTGGACTTTTAGCACATTATACAAGAAATGAAACAAACACTTGACGTCACTTCCGGTGTTGGTCACTGGACCCACAACAAAATAAAACTAATCCTTCAAATTCAAGAACCCATTAATACAAACAGTTTGAAATATGGTAATAATATATTACAGTGGAAGCCGATGGAAGAAGCGCGGTTTGTGCGTGATTCCAACAAAGTTCGGCCTGTCGTATGAGGCTCCGTCTAGGTTCCTCAACCAGGCTTGTGCCTTGGTGACGCTGTACCTGGACGGGTCTGTGTTGGTGTCTCACTGCGGGACTGAGATGGGACAAGGTCTTCACACGAAGATGATCCAGGTACTTCCTAACTTAGAGTATACAGGATCACATTTGATTGAATGATGTTACTATTATACTGAAGATGTGTAACAGTGAACTACGGTTATAGCGATTTCAAAGGGATCACTAATTTTAGTTTGTGAGTGAGTGAGTGAGTTAATATTTAACGTCACATCGGCAATATAATTTTAGTTTGTGATAAGCATAGTTCGTTGTAGGACTTCCGACTAAAATATGCACTGGGTGGTTGGGACAAAACAAGCACGTACTTTAAATCTGTCACTTCGTAATATAAGTGTGTTCGATATAAACGTAGTTTACTGTATGTCCACATTCCCTTCATCCATATAGTCTGAGACCTTGTGCTCATGCTACATGCTTGCAATATTCCTTCTATATATATGGCGGTGTTCTCTAAATAATCGAGTTTGAACCAGACAATCCAGTGAGCAACGATGCATGGTTGTATTTCTCTGAATCATAATACCATGCTCAGCATGTAACAAACTGCAAACCGTTTACACTCTGTATTGGTGATACACACTTAACGTGTAGTAACTCACTGAATTTACGATTATACCGATAATAATTGCATGACGGATAATTCCATATGTCAGGCAAGTTCATTTAAATACACAATGGTTTCAAAGATGATGTATGATTTCCAGTAATTGTTGTATTTGACAGGTGACCAGTCGAGCTTTAGGTGTTCCTGTATCTGACGTCTTCATCAACGATACTTCAACAGATAAAATCCCCCTCACCAGCCCCACCGCCGCCAGCGCAGGGTCAGATCTCAATGGAGGGGCCGTGCAGGTGCGTGGGTATATCCAGATGGTCACAGTGACAGAATGGCGTATTTACGTAATTCGTCTCATCGGGTTTACCATCCTGTTTTTGCCTGCCTGATTAACTATTGTCCATCAAGCTCTGAATAGAAACTGCCCATAAAAGGATTAAAAGGCATCAAGAGATTAAACAGTATGTTCATGTAATACTCTTGAGTCCTTCGCGTCGAAGAATGAGATCATACATTACGATCACCCCTTTTTAATCGAACTGTTTTAGGCCGATCATCGGACTACTTCTTGACCTAACGCTTGGGTTAAAACATGAAATAGATTTAAAAAACAATGTTTCTTACTACCTAATAAATGATACTATTATTAGTTTGTAACGAAAGTGCTACGGTGAGAAATTATCTTAACTTGGACAAGATGCAGACTAACACAAACTAAATGAATAAAGTTATAATCCCTTAATAACATAAAGAATAATTTTATCACATCAAACGAAAATCGATATTTGTGGAAAAAACGTCCTTAATAACCCAGGGTAATTTCGGAGTCAACGTTAGGACGTATTGTGTGGCTGTAAGTCCATTCATAGCATATTTGATGGGACATGATCATGAAAATGTATTAAAGAAGACAAAGTGGGTTCTTTGAATTGTTTGTTAAAATCCATTTCAGAATGCTTGTGAAATACTGAGAGGGCGTCTTGAACCTTACATAAAAGCCAACCCAAAGGGAAAGTTGTCCGACTGGGTAAGTGCTTTCCTAGTGCTATCCTAATGTTTCCTAGTGTTATCCTAATGTTTCCTAGTGTTATCCTAATGTTTCCTAGTGTTATCCTAATGTTTCCCATTGTTATCCTAATGTTTCCTATTGTTATCCTAATGTTTCCTAGTGTTATCCTAATGTTTCCTATTGTTATCCTAATGTGTCCTATTGTTATCAGCTAATCTAAAAGTGAGACTTTGTTCCTATTTAAATTGTGATAAGGAAGCTTCTCGGCTGTTAACGACAGAAACAATGAAATTGAAAACAGTCCTTGCTCAATCTAAATGAATATTGCACAGTGAAATGACATCAATGTTTGTTCTGATTCCTAGGTTAACAGCGCGTACATCGATTGCGTTCCATTGTCAGCCTCAGGTTCGTTCTTGTAAGTAGTTTAATACCTCATCTGGTGCGACATATAGGTTCAGGTCAAACATGCAGCGTAAAATATGTAGTAGTACACAGAGCAGTATAATGAATGAATGAAGCTCGTGGCGGTGGACAAGGTTAACTTCTGAAACAGTGACTATTGACAGAGCCACCTTCACCTTTCAGCACAAAGGGACTGGACTACGACGAGAAACTAAACAAAGGCACGTTCTTCAACTATTTCACGTGCGGCGTGGCCTGCACAGAGGTGGAGATAGATTGTCTCACAGGAGACCACCAGGTGGGTTGCTCTCTTTGATTCATTGCTAAATATGATGATGAGTATGCAGTTTTATTAGATTTTCATGAATTATGGAAATTTTCCTCATTGACTATAGTAGAACACATTCTTCTGTGTGTGTGTGTGTGTGTGTGTGTGCGTGCGTGCGTGCGTGCGTGCGTGTGTTTGTACGAACATACAGATGGTCGGATGCATATGTCGCTGAAATATGTTTCAGGTTTTACGGACCGATATTGTGATGGACGTTGGCAGAAGCCTGAACCCTTCGATTGACATTGGCCAGATTGAGGGTGCTTTCATGCAGGTAAATAGGTTCCTCCCCTACCGCAGTGTTGGAAGCGCGGCCGTTCTGGCGTCCTAACACAAAACCCTCCCACTGTAAATCCTTCCACGACAAACCATTTTTGATAAAGGTACAACTCAATGCTTCTTAGCGTCCAAAGTGACGTCAAGGTGATTAGTTTAATTTATTGATTTATCAAATTAGCATTATATTGAAAATAGGTGACTGGGTATTAATAGGATACATGTAAATGATATCTGATATTTGTCGGGAAAACTTAACGTTGTATGTTTGGTGTTAGAATCAATAATAACTCAATATCAATAATAACATAATTTTTGTCAAGTGCGTGTTATGTTGTACTTCCTTCTCGTTTAATGCACTGAACATAACATAAACATTTGCTAACCTTTTGCATCTGTACAATGACGTTCGTGTTTCTCCTTCTCTACTATAGTTTTTTGTGTTATTTCTAAGGTTGTATTTTATTAACTAGTGATGTCAGATTGACTCTTGACAACTCTGCCAGAAATGCGCTCTCCTAGGTTGACGCCGTTTAATCAAGTTTCAATTTGCGAATTATCGAACCCGTACAGCACCCCACCCGTAAACGTTCATGTCATGGCTATGGACAATATATACCCAATCCTGTTCGATGTTCTCTTTGGATCAATCTTTGAAATCATAGGAAGCCAAATAAATAAAGGTTACATTATTTAAGGCAGTAATTTATTTTAATGGAATATGACATATAAGCATTGTTTTTCCTCAGGGATATGGGTTATTCTGTCTCGAGCAGCAGAAGATCTCACCGGCAGGAGTTGTCCTTACTCGAGGCCCGGGGACATACAAGATACCAAGCTTTAAGAACATCCCGGTCAAACTGAACGTCACCTTGCTGAAGGACAGCGTCAATAAACGTGCAGTATACTCTTCCAAGGTAAGCGTGAGCAATTTGGTGATGACAGTGATGGTATGATATGTGCCACAATGGGTGTAGTTCCCATCAGGATCTCCCGATAAGAGTGAGTGAGTATGGTTTTACGCCGCCTTTAGCAATATTCAAGCAACATCAAGGCGCGGGAGACACCAGAAATGGACTTCAGACATTACCAATGTGGGGGAATCGAACCCGGGTCTTCGGCGCCGCCGCTCCTCTCCCGATAAGAAATCCAATCCATGAATATTGATAGCAATGATATATTGTTTCGCCAGGGTTTGTAAATGTGACTTTGCTGATTGTCATCCTAGAAAACATTGAACGTTGCTCATCCTGTCAATTACTGTTTTTAAATATTTACACAGGATTCCTGAACATATTTCGCCTGTTACTGAATTTGACATTTACCCACGCCTATCACAGGACTGCTCGTACTTGTCCATGTTTATTTATACATTTATTTCAATTTGCCATCAAAAATATGTCCCAAGATATGTTATGCATTTCATTTGGGTGGAAAATTAACCAGTTTAATTTTTTGTGTGCTCAAGATTTTTTATTGTACAGGAAAACGATGAAAAAAATATTTTAGAGTTAATAAATGTAACACGTCACAATTTGATTCTGCAAACCCAGGATGCCAGTTTCTGACAAAGGATTTGTCTAAATTCAGCATGAAGTTATCATGAATATATGCTCAGGATGAAAAAAAGACTTTTCGAAAAGTCAAAATTTAAACTACCTCGCCCATGGGCGATAATATTTACTTTTACTCAAAATACGGTTTTTTTTATGTTTTGGATATTTTCAAAGATGATCTAAATGTGTTAAAGGGTATCGGTGAACCGCCTCTGTTCCTGGCATCGTCGGCGTTTTTTGCCGTTAAGGACGCCATCAAGTCGGCGCGAGAGGACGCTGGGGAGAGCCGTGAGTTCCGCCTGGACAGTCCAGCCACGCCCGAGAGGATCCGGATGGCGTGTCGGGATCAGTTTACCAAACAGGTGAAACAACATGGAATACGGGTTAAAATTAGATGTACCTCATTAACTGTTAATAACAACCTCAATAACGCCACCCTAGCTACAGCTACTAATGTAAAGCAAACAGACTGAAATGGAAAATATTGAAGACAATGTGTTTCTACTGCAGGATCTTGATACTTCTTTCATGACCACGACTAAGGTTGTCGTGTTGTCCCGACAGGTCTTACTGACAACCAACCGCCTCCGTGGTGTAGTGGTTAGAGCGTCCGCCCGGAGAGCGGAAGGTCGCGGGTTCGATCCCCGACCGCGTCATACCAAAAGACGTTAAAATATGGTACTTGTTGGTCCCTGCCTGGCGCTCGGCATTAATGGGTACAACAAGGACTGGTCGGCTCGGAGTCAGTATAATGTGTCTGAGTGGGGTATTCATGCTTCACTGCGGCATGGTATCTCAGTGGGCTTGCACCAAAAACCAGCTTAAGTCTGGGCTAGTACAAGCAGCCGCACATACACATACACACGCATGCACGTCGTCATATGAGCGAAATATTCTCAAGCACGACGTAAAACCCAATTTCACCTCACCTCACCTACTGACAACCACTGTAGCTGTTGCGTCTCTTTGGTGTTTTGACACTTCTGACAACAATTATGGCCTATGTGTTTCGGTGGTTTCGTGACTGACAACCATTTTGGCTGATGTGTTTCCGTGGTGTCGTGACTGACAACCATTATGGCTTATGTGTTTCCATGGTGTTGTGACTGACAACCATTATGGCTTATGTGTTTCTGTGGTGTCGTGACTGACAACCATTATGGCCTATGTGTTTCCGTGGTGTCGTGGCTGACAACCATTATGGCTTATGTGTTTCTGTGGTGTCGTGACTGATAACCATTATGGCCTATGTGTTTCTGTGGTGTCGTGACTGACAACCATTATGGCTTATGTGTTTCCATGGTGTCGTGACTGACAACCATTATGACTTATGTGTTTCCATGGTGTCGTGACTGACAACCATTATGACTTATGTGTTTCCATGGTGTCGTGACTGACAACCATTATGACTTATGTGTTTCCATGGTGTCGTGACTGACAACCATTATGGCCTATGTGTTTTCGTGTTGTCGTGCCTGACAACCATTATGGCTTATGTGTTTCCGTGGTGTCGTGCCTGACAACCATTATGGCTTATGTGTTTTCGTGTTGTCGTGCCTGACAACCATTATGGCTTATGTGTTTCCGTGGTGTCGTGGCTGACAACCATTATAGTTATGATTATGAACCCTTATAGTGCTTCTTCCTTCCTGACTACAGCGCCAGGCTAGTGATCCAGCGAGCTTGAGGTGACGGGATCGAGCCCACCTGTGACCGGGTGTAAAATCCTTGGAGTCAACTTTGTGTGCAGACTCTTCAGTGTTGTCACAACCCTTAGTGTACAGTACACAACCCTGTGCACTTATAAGAACCCACGAATCCATTGGTATATGACCAGATGATGGCCACATGAATACGTGCAAGCACCCAGTTGCGGGTACAGCAACGTGCAGCAAACTTGGACAAAGTACTGTGACTATGTGTCCCAGTCCACTCAGCTGTGAATGGGTACCTCGTAAGGATGGGGATGCCACAATAACTCGGTGCGCCTAGTAGTGAAATGCCAAACATAACATATGTTACACTTTCTAAATGGATTGTGTATTCATAGGATTGTGTATTCATAGGATTGTGTATTGATAAAAGCGACCCACTAACCCACCTTCCCATCTCACCTACTACCTCATTAACTCAGTTCGCATAGTAATTTTATCAGTGAACTGGTAATAGTACATTGTTGACAAGTCCTAGATCTATTATTTCTGCAACATTTTCCCGACGACTACAGATAGTATTTGGTTTTTTTCAGTTTCCCGAACCTGCAGAAGGGACTTACAGGCCATGGTTTGTGGACCTGTAAGGCGGACCTGAAGGAACATTTGTCATTTTCATAGATATTTTACACTCATAATTGGACTGGAGCGTATTTTGGAAGAATCATGTGATTTTGATTTTTAAGCAAATATCTAGTCTTGACACGTTACCTTAAAAGCGGATTGTGTGCTTTGTACCTCAGTTCACGTGTAGATCACCTTCGATGATGCAGTGTGTTGGCGGCTGACGTGTCCAGGGTGTTTATCGCTGTTTGTAGGTATTAGTACATAGTAGTGAGGAAGAGGACCAGTCTCGGTGATGATGACTGTTATGTGCTAAGAACGAATACTTGTGCTAAGACCGAATACTTGTCGGTATCGTATCGAAATATGGGAGATATATCGGAGTAAAATAAATGTTGATATGATAATAAATAAAAAATGAATGTTTTGAGAGTGCATCACCATTTGCACTTCCTTATTGCCATAGTTGTTTGTACAGTAATCGCTCTTGAAAGATGATTGGTGTATGACGTGAACTTGCATGTGTACGATTTTCGTTTCCCAAAACCAAAAACCAGGCTAGAAACAAACTGTGTGATGCAATATGATTGTCTACAGTTATCGACCTTCTTGAAAACTGTCAAAATGAAGAATGACACCCCATGCACGTGTGTGGGGCTACTGCGTTGTCGACATGCATCCCGTGCGTTGTGTTTAGGGGAGGTGATAAAGAGAAATGGTGGTGCGTTCATAAGATATATGTCTTCAAAAAGTGTGTTAACGCTTATACTTCCTATCCAAATTGAAACTTAAGGTACTCCTACTTTTTTAAAGTCTATATACCACTCAATATTTTGCTGTTCAAGACATAACACAAACTTGATCCTGCCAGAATGACTGAAATATGTGATGATATGATTCGAGGTACTTGTTGAAGTAGATACATGAATTTTCATTAACCATGTCACTCCCCACCGTAAGTACATGTAGACATTGACTAGAGCTACGCTCAATTACGGGTCGCTACTGAGTGAATGGCTGCTCTGGACTTGCCCAATGTAATCACGAATATGTGGTAATCTATAGCCCGAATGTCATAATTAAAGTGAATGAGTACGAGTGAACGCCGCCTTTTAGCAATATTCCACCAATATTACGTGAGTGAGTGAGGTTAGTTTTACGCCGCACTCAGCAATATTCCAGTTATATGGCGGCAGTCTATAAATAATCGAGTCTGGACCAGACAATCCGATCATCAACAGCATGAGCACCGATCTGCGCAATTGGGAACCGATGCCATGTGTCAATCAAGTCAGCAAGCCTGACCACCCGATCCCGTTAATCGCCTCTTACGACAAGCATGGGTTACTGAAGATCAATATTCTAACCCGGACCTTCACGGGTACAGCAATACCACAACGGAGGACACCAGAAATAGGCTTCCCACATTGTACCCATATACAGAATGGACTTTGGCGTGACGAGCGAATACTTTAACCATTAGACTACCCTCGTCGCTCCTTTTAATTCTAATTAATCGAGATGAGATATAATCAATCCAGTAAATACAAGTACATGACTTAGTTACTGAAGGGGATGTTGTCCATGGGGTATTATGCCATGTCAATGTTTGGCCTTACAGATCGTTTGGAAGTTTTTTGTTGTTTAACGCCGTACTCAGCAATATCCAGCGATATGGCAGCGGTCTGTAAATAAACGAGTCTGGATCAGACAATCCATTCATCAACAGCATGAGCATCGATCTACGCAACTGGGATATGATGACATGTTTCAACCAAGTCAGCGAGGCTGACCACCCGATCCCGTTAATCGCCTTTAACGACAAGCATGGGTTGCTGAAGACCAATTCTAACCCGGACCAATTCTCCACGGGACCGTTTAGAAGTAATAAAAGTTTCGAAATAATTGGGCAAAGTCTTTATGAGCTAAGTGTGCACATCATTACTCTACAGTGTCCACGGAATGCGTATACCAAATGAGAAAAAATAACATAAATATTCAAAAGTTATTTTTTAGATTACGTCTTTTTATTCAATGTGTCTTTATCACTGCCAAATAAACAATTGAAGATTTACGTCTTGTTTTTCACAATGTAGTTAAAAAACGAACTTTACGAATACTTGCATGCATAGGCCTTAAACGTATCTAGAGGCACAGTGGTTCCAAACTTTAACCATGGTAGTGATCGATTCGTGAGTTCGAATCCTAGTTCCGTCCCGATTTCAATAAACAGACTATGTCAACACTACCTGCGTAGTATCCGTTGCTGCTCCTTATTAACAAGTGTGTCAAGAATTCAAATTCAAGAATTTCTACGATGACTTTTTGTTTTTCCAAGACACATACGAAAGTTCAAAGACGAGTGAAACGAGAGCAAGCGCCGCTCCTGTTCCAATGATATAGAATGCACTTTGTATATCCACGAGGCTTATCGGCACACCCTTGCGCTGCTTAGACTCACATTTGGATTGTGTGGGCCACCATTTGTTTTTCCACAAATCAATCAGACCAGCCTCATAGAAAGACAGCATCCTGTATCAAATAAAAATAAATATAACAATATCGACAGTATCTTTTAAATTTGGTTATGGAATACTACTACTCGAAAATGTTTAAATGTTAAAAATAAATGAAAATGTGTGTTTTATGTGTCACCCCCCAGATATACATACAATGTTATAAACAAAACTATACTGAAGAAGCACGTTATTTAAATACTACAATTAAACTGGTTAAAGCAAATGCTACTTTTTAAAATTTCAGAGTAGTAGAGCAACACTTAGGTTCCACTTATCAGGACCAAAAAAAATATACCCGTGAAGATCCGGGTTAGAATTGATCTTCAGTAACCCATGCTTGTCGTAAGAGGCGACTAACGGTGTCGGTTGGTCAGGCTCGCTGACCGGGTTGACACATGTCATCGTATCCCAATTACGTAGACCGATGTTCCTTCTGTTGATCCCTAGATTGTCTGGTCAAGACTCGATTATTTACAGACCGCCGCCATATTGCTGGAAAATTGCTGAGTGCGGCGTAAAACTAAACTCACTCACAAAAAACTAAATATTAAGTGTACTCACCAACACTGAAAACGCACCACTTACAAAGGTTCCGATTACGAAAAACACGTGTAAGGAATTGACATTTTTTAGTGGATAATAGCAGATGGACGTCTGACAAAAACAACAACACAGAAAAGACGCTCATTCAGAATGGATCAAACACACTATGGGTCAAATCGAAAAGTCAATATCGCGTGTGACCGCCATTTGCATTGACACATGCAGTGCAACGCCTTCTCATTGAGTCAGGGGCAGTGGGGTAGCCTAGTGGTTAAAGCGTTTGCTCGTTACGCTGAAGATCCGGGTTCGATTCCCCACATGGATACAATGTGTGAAGCCCATTTCTGGTGTCCTCCGCCGTAATATTCCTGCAATATTGCTAAAATCGGCGTAAAACTAAACACACTCACTCTCATTGAGTCAATAAGCGTCCTCCGAGTTCTGGAGGATGGCAGTCCACTTCTACAGTAGTGGTTGAAATGTATGGACATCTTGGTGGTGATTGAAGAATCATACGACGTGTTTCTTACGAATCTGGTCACGGCAGTAAAGGGCTTTAACTTTCCCTTGACAGACATGAAGGCAGTCCTCTGATTGTAGCTTATTCCACCCCAGACCATGACACCCCACCACCCCAACGGTCTGTCTGAACCACACACTCATCAGCATAACGTTCACCACGTCTACGCCAAACAGGTAATCGGCCGTCAGCATTACGTAGATGAAGACGTGACTCGTCAGTGACTACCACACCATGCCATTGTTGTAACCTTTACTGAACGTGTCTGTTACGCCATTGCATAGCATGTAGACGTCGTCTCATGGTGTCAGCGCTGATGACCCCACGTCGACCTTGAACTAGTGCAGCAGTCCTGGCAGTCGGCAGTATTCGAACACGGATATGGTCAAGGTCAATATGGCGATCCTGACGGGGCGTCGTGACACGTTGTTGCCAAGGTCGTGGAAGGTCACGGGCGCTGCCTGTCTGCTGATGTCGTCTATGAAGCCTAACGATGGTTGAGTGGCCAAGTTGTCGAGCAATATGCCTGCTGCTGGTGTCAACCTGAATCATGCCTAGTGCACGTTCTCTTTCGTGAGGTGTTAACCTCGGCATCTGTGTCCTCGTTTCACAATCGTTAGTGAAGCAATGAGAATCGCATCTCATACATCTGTTCTTAATGTCACAGTCAGTATGATTTCAGAATGAAATTCGCGCTTTTTTCATGGCGTGGCTGCATGTTGACGCGTTTTGGAATTAAGAGTCATACTATGAACAGGTATTATGTTTCTAAAACATTTTTCAACTAGCCATGCACTTCGACTTCATGTTAGTTATATTCATTGATCATTGTCATGCTGAAATCCGTCTTGATGAAAATATGGACAATTTTAGAGTGGTGCGTTTTCAGTGTTGGATTGTATATTTCAGTCCTGATAAGATATCGTGAAAATGACGTATAACTTGACTGTATACTCACGCATCGGCGAATATCTTTGTTAGTTCTGAGTGTTTTGGCAGAGCAATGCTTGTGAATGTTGGAATAATGTTCTCTTTCATGACTGTCAGATCGCAGTTATCAACCATCCAAAGGCCGAACAAGATCCGGGAACTAATAAATGCATACGACCCGGCCTTGACCTTTCGTAAATGCACATCAATGTCTTTGCTCAGATGTGATGGATCAGTTTGGGCGAATTCCTTTACCCGCTTACCCATCTTTCTATACAGAGGTATTGTCGTGCCCTATGAAGAAAGGAACTGGGAACATCTAATAGATCACATTTCAAGTATAAATTTAAAAAAAAATTGGTTTGTTAATGAATTGACGGAGGGAACACAAATGTGTAATGAATTGATATGGCGCCTGGTATCCAACTCGAAGCCGTTCAACGGCACATCACAAAGTCTATCCCGGATAATCCAAGCAGCCTCTGAGGCGCTGGAAGCTTAATGGTCGCATGACTTATCTTACCGGGTACCCACTTTCTGCTGGGTGAACAGAGGCAATTTTGAACAAACTCACTTGCCTAAGGTGAGACCATATGTGTCATATGTGCATTTTTTGTGGGGCAGGACTGAAGTCCTAGACACTCTCAGACTGAAGTCCAAGACACGGTCATCCAAGGAGTCTACGCGCCCAACTGATTTGTGACCTGAGCTCTATGCACAGGATCACATACCACCACGGATGTAAGTTACTGCTTGATGTCAACGACTTTTATTAAATCAAGTCATCATTTTTTATTATTGTATTGAATTTGGTTTTCGAGCTCCAGACAAACGGACACACTTACTTAACTGTTTTGGAACATTGTAAGATGAAATGTCATGGGTCATTATATGAGATTTCAACTAAAGTAAGGAAACTTCAAAACCTCATTGAAAATAAAATTCACACGCAAAGTAAAACAAGTTCACATCCTAATCCTCATCTTCATCCTCATCAGTTCAGCAAAGTGTTTCCTCACCTCAAAGAAAGTATCATACGAACTGCCTCCAACATAGCCATATGTGTAGTCGCTGTTACTGACCAAGTCCTCCAGTCCGTCCAGCGGTGGATGTTCAATGCTGAAGGTTAAAAACGCTGTCAGGTTCCCACAGTACACAGACGCCATGATGAAGGTGAAGAGCCACCAGAACGACATCATCACGTGGCCAGGGAGGGAGCTCGGAGGGGCATCACCACCTGGGGTAATAATATATCTGTAAATGTTTACAACCTGTCACAGAATGATGACAGTCACTACTGGACACTATTCCACGGTTCGTATCATTCAAACTATACTACTCACACTTTGCTAAGGATCACAAAAATTCACAACTTTTCTTAAACATCGATTTATAATTTGAAATTGTATCCACTTAAAACTGGATAAATAATAATATGGTAACCCTTCTTTAGGCAAACAGCCACTTTAATCTAATCTTTTGCACTTGATACATGAGTAACCATTTCATGGCACCAATCAACCATTTTGCAAATCATGGAACGAGTCACTGACAAGTACACAGCACCTGTCAATAGCAGGTATGGGATCCACAAAATGCAGTGATATACTGAAACCAAGGATCCATGCTTAGAATAAGCTTAGATATTTAGACCAAATTAGACCCCACTTTAGTTTTCTGTTGAATCAATGATCTGATCCTTAGCAAAGCGTGAATAGTATATATATTTATTTGTTTTTTTAACGCTGCACACATAAATATTCCAGCTATAGGACGAATAATAATCTGGACCAGGCAATAAAGTGATTCAAATCAGGAACGTCGATCTATGCAATTGGGTTATGATGACGTGTGTCAAGCAAGTCGGTGAACCTGACCACCCAATCCCGTTAGTCGCCTCTTTCGACAAACACGGTTTGCTGAAGACCAATTGCAACTCGTTTCTTCACGGGGATACAACTATAGCAATGTGGTCTGCAAATGAGAGTCAGACCCTGAAGAGACAAAATATTGGTTCTAAATATATGCTACGCTCCAATTCGTTATATTACCTAGTCAACGAAGTCCTTGATGGTAACCAACCGATCAGGTTAAGTCGCTCATTATGACCAGCAAGACAGTGAAGGATATCAATAATTGGACGTCCATTTACGAAAAATAAAAATAAATTTAATATCCGAAAATACAATACTCTCTAACTTGTGTTTTTTCATCGTTGATTAGGAAAGATCCCCTGTTTGCATCATATACTAATGATGTTGATGAAATCTATCCTAAATACTAATGATGTTGATGAAATCTATCACAACCGTTTGTGTTGGAATGACACATGTAACATAGAATTAACATTGTTTTGATAAATGCATGGCATGGGTATATCAAGTGAATGAAATGTCAACTCCACAGTGAAAGACTGTAATGTTTCTGTGGTCTGTCCTATGTATTTCATGACCAACTAAGTGTTTCAAGCCAATGGCTAACTGCTCGAGTAGGACAGACTCTAAGAGATCAAAACTGGAGATCTGACATCGAGAGAAACCCTTTGGGCATTATCTCCTTCTGCCCAAACAAATATATTATTCTCTCCTGAAATAAAGAACTTGTAACCATAATCTGTCTGTCGAAGTTGGCCGTTGGTTTGGTAAATAGAGAGAATTTAAGACATGTAGACTGTGTATGTCGCCAAGTATAGCCGATGAATTCCACTACCTGTTTAAATGTGAAGCTTTTGATGAATACAGATCCAACTTTATTCCAAATAAATATATACAGTTCCCAAATTTAATCAAGTTCAAGAAATTGGTGAGTAGTTGAAGTGTGAAAGAAATCAAGAACCTTGCACAATTCATCTGTATAATAGATAAGTACCTTCGAGTGCGATTGTATACATGTGTGCCGGATTGCTACAGCGGATTATATATTTATCGGTTCATATTTAAATATTCGTAATTGTTTTCAATCACAATGTCTTAATGTCGCCATTTATTTGTACAATATAACCGATATCTTGTCAAGTACAAATTATTGCTATGTTAGGAAAACATTTCTTCTGTACTACCGTGGGTGGTTCTTTTTTGAGAATAAATGAATTGAATTGAATTGAATTGAATATACGATGCAGAGTTACCTTGAGCAAACAGGGAGCCAATCATGTGCCAGGACATGTCCTGTAGTGACTTGCTGGACATTCGACGAGACCCCAGGGTACGTGGGCTGTAGCTTTCGAGCACGGTCAGCATGATGGTAGCAAGGACGACACTCAGGCCAATCAGGCCGTATACGGGCCGGCTGAATGGCTGAAGAAACGTCATCCACTTTTCGGTCCGGGAGTCATTCTTTGTGAATAGGACTGTGATGAAGTCGTTGCTCATGGGATAGGTGAAGTCAACCACTGCTTGACGCTCACTTGTTGGGTTGAGAGGGGCCATTGCAATGTCTACTTCCTGTTTTGTGGAATAAACCAGTATTGCTTTTAATAAACTATTATTTGACCAAGACTTAACTCATTCATAAGCTTCTCTGGATTCGTACGGATTGTGTGAGCCAGCACATAACTATCAACATCGGCGTTTATCAACAAGGGGATTTTTCATTTTCTACGTTAAACATATTTTGTTGATCAAGTGAGTGAGTGAGTGAATTAGGTTTACGCCGCACTCAGCAATATTCCAGCAATATGGCGGCGGTCTGTAAATAATCGAGTCTGGATCAGACAATCCAGTGATCAACAGCATGAACATCGATCTGCGCAGTTGGGAACCGATGACATGTGTCAACCAAGTCAGCAAGCCTGACCACTCGATCCCGTTAGTCGCCTCTTACGACAAGCATGGGTTACTGAAGGTTAATTCTAACCCGGATCTTCACGGGTATTGTTGATCAAGAGGAAACCAAGGTGTTCGCTCATCACAAAAGATCATGATTTCACACACCAGTATATGCAAGCCATTTATGTGTCCCGTTTCTGGGCCTAGATTTTTTGAAGCTCTCTTAGCGCTAAGATAGTCATAAATTAATGTTAATGTATGGCACTTATAACTAATTTAACTATCTCAGCGCTAAGAGAGCTTCGAAAATCTAGGCCCTGGAGACTTTGTAGATATCACAACTCTGCTGCTGCAAACAATTTCAATATCTCTCTCCGATTGTAAATTGACGTCCAAAAGGCACCATACCCCAACTCTCAGAAAAAACTGACCAACCCCTCGATTAACAGCATATAATAGTTTAGCAGTTTAAAGTTGGCAGTAAACCCTGGATTAGAACGAGTGTGCCAGTTTGGTGCAATAATGGACGCCACAAAACGTCGCCGCCTAAATAACGTCAAGCGCTGTATCACGTTAGCAGGAGTCTGTTCCCAGTCGTAAAAAGAGCTCGCTCCAAGTCTTGATACTTGTTTTCTCTTATTTATTTTTCCTATCCAGATAATCCCACAGTTATTTCCATGTTTAAATATCAGGAGAACATTAAGGTCATGCCAACGCAGGAATGTTTGTATTGTTAAGGAAGTCCTGTCTGACGCTTGTAGAATGAGGTTCAGTTGCTCATCTTCGTGGTATCATCTGGCTGCTGTCGTAGAACTTTCGCAAAACTGGTTGGTTGGTTGTTTAAAGATTCACTTAGCAATATGGCGTGGGTACAATCTGTGAAGCCCATTTCTGGTATCCCCCGCCGTGATATTACTGGAATATTGCTAAAAGCGGCGTAAAACCATACCCACTCACTCACTCACTATATGGCGGCGGTATGTCAATTATTCTAGTCTGGACCAGACAATCTAGTGCTCAACAGCATGAGCATCGATCTACGCAACTGAGACACGATGACATGTTTCATCCAAGTCAGCAAGCCTTACCACCCGATCCCGCTAGTCGCCCCTTACGTCAAGCATGTACTACTGAAGACCAGTTCTAACCCGGATCTTCATGGGTGATATGAAGTGAGTAACCACGGTGATATAATGGAGCAACGAATGTGACTTACGTTCCTGATCAGCATTTGAATCATGCCTGTCCAGTTGCCATCGACGACCCGTCCCCATTCATCATCTGCTGGCTCCCTGAATTTGTATCTGAATATTGGCAAAACCAAAAAGGAAAAACTTTTATACAACTTTCAATTGTATGAAAAATTTAACAAAGTTTACAAATCAAGACACATTACTGCAGAGTAAGCACATTGGCAGTACACAAAATAGTGGCAGAACAAAATTCAATAGCAGTGTGGAAAAATACCAGAAAAGTTAGTGATAATTATACTAGCCAAGCAGCAAGAGTTGTCATGATCAAGTCTCCAAAATACATCTTGGCTGTATATCCTGTGTGAAAAATATTATCTTCACACAACCACTGGTCTGAATATAAAATGAAATGAGAGAGACGTGCCCATGCCAACTTAAACAGTCTAAGTGCCTTTAAAATTTCAATTCTGCGCTGTTTCAGTCTAGAGCAATTATAGAAGTTTCTCGATAAAACGTGACCCGAAAACATCATTCCACATCACTGTTTTCCTCAGATAACAGTACATTCCTGAAATATAAATGTTATTAAAACGCAATTTAACGAACTGCTCCTGAATCGTAAAAGAAACAGTCAGTTTAAATTACACGTGGCGTCATTGTTAACGAAATATTTAGACTGCCATATAGCAAAAATTTCATGGAATTTCATGAAAGGGAACTTATACGAAAGAATCAGATTCATTAAGCTGGTTAGTTCTATGTTTGAAATATGAATGTTAAACGTCATAAAAGGGTATGGAATTCCCAAATAAATTGTAAAACAATTTGTAATGAGCCACAATGTTTTAATACGAGCACAGCGGAAACATGTAACCTACTGGTAGCCTATAGTAGTTAACCGTTTCTGAAGAAGATGACCAGCTCTTTGAAATCGAATTGGATACTTAAGTATCTTTGATCCATACACTTAAGTAGACACACTGTTTGATTGGTCACTATGGCGACCATAAACAGACTGATAAGGTAGTGCGATGTAGCTGATGAGTCTGCAAGTATAATCAATTATTACTTGCTCTGTCTTTGTGACAGGTGTTGTTGAAACATTTTCCCGAGAGACATGTAAACAATGGCCTATGACACAGACATTTATATATAGATTATCCTAGTTCTGGAAGACATATTTTACAGATATACATACGTAAAATTCAAAACCCTGGATAATTCGACGAGTAAGTCTATAGTGTAGCCGATGTAAGATGAGTTCTGTCCATCACTTTGTCTTGTACGGATGATGAATGGGTTCCACTGGGGAAGATACAAATGAAAACTGATACTGCTCTCATTAGAATATCAACATATTAACACAGAAATAATACGTCAGGCATTGAATACCAACGCCCTTTGAAAAATTCAGCTGTTTCTAGATATCATTTGTGGGGTTACGAAAGATATATCTACACTTAACAGCTTTTGGCTTTTGCGTATGAAGGCGTAAATTTGGAGACCATGTCCTTTCTTGGTAGTCCATTATATGTAATGAATTGATTGTTTTGACGGCATTCTTCGGAATTCATTCTTTAAATATGACACCATGTCATCATTTCACAAACTGACTGACTGACTGAGTTTGGTTTTACGCCGCTTTTAGCAACATCACGGCGGGGGGACACCACAAATGGGCTTCACACATTGTACCCATGTGGGAATTCGAACCCGGGTCTTCGGCGTGACGAGCCAACGCTTTAACCACTAGGCTACCCCACCGCCCCCATTTCACAAACTGTCCCAAGGCATGTCTTTTCTTGAACAATTCACTGCACTGAAGGCAACAATAGTTTGCAAATGAACATCAAGCAAAGGAAATGCACCTTACCGGCAAAGTAGTCATATCAAACGTTTGAAGATTAAATCCGAATTCAGTATTAGGGAAGACATTAATATTTGATGGAATGTCCCCTACAGCATCAAACTGATGCACCATGGCCAGCTCCCTTCCCCGTTGTGTGAACATCAGAGTCATCAAGAACATCTCAGGCTGTGGAAGGAACCAAGAGCCTGTTAAACACCAATGCTTTGTAATAGATAATGGCGTCTTGTAATTAGGAGTGAGGGGGTGAGTATGGTTTTACGACGCTGTTAGCAATATTCCAGCAATATCACGACGGGGGACACCAGAAATGGGCTTTTTTATTTCATAAATGGCTTTAGTCAATTTGATATTCACTTTACACCTTAAAGCAGAAATAAAATATATTGAGTGGACGCAGGTAACAGGATACAATATCGGCTATCAATAACTCTGTATGATCACAATTATTTCAGTGTAATTACATGTGCGTTAATATCCAAATGCACATAATTTAGTAGGAGAAAATAGGTCATGCATTAACATCAGCACATGCAATACCCAAGTTTGTTTGGGCACGTACATGATTAGAAACAGAGATGATTAATACTCATACATTTACTCAAACTGACAACATTATACGTACTGAAATGACGGGGCACAAACCGTTATAACAGCTACATTGTAAAGATTTGATGCCAGACCAATGAAGTTCTTTGTAGGCTCGTTTGTTTCAACCAGCAGCCATCTTGAAAACATGTTCAGAGCAGAGCGTCGTCCCTTGATCACATCAAAATGTCTTGCCTACATTAAGATACAAAGGTCAGTATATCTAGAAATTAGTTGATAGTGTCAGGATGAAGTTACTTGCAAATTGTCGACAAAAAACAATGGCTGGCTAGGTGATCGTAGGGTTTGAGAGTTCGCCCCTGCCCGAAACAGAAGCACGATTCATGTGTCGTATCCTGGTCATGTGACTGTTTGAAACATGCCTCTGTTCACCCAGCAGTGGATGGGTACCAGATAGGTGGAAATGGTTGTATACTCTCGAGGGAACTGAGATTAGTAATCAATGCTGATCTGTTGATCCAATATTTGGGCACGTAACATTGTATAACTCGCTCTTAAAGGCACCTTACTTTTATTGGTATTTTAAATGTTAAATTCTTAGTTTTATGAATCCTGTAATGACTATTTCCATACCATGCCCAGCAAATGGAAACTAAGGTAAATATTTCTTTTGGAATTATTAATTAAAATTTCAATTCATAGTGTTATGAATTCTGTAATGACTATTTCCATACCATGGCTAGCACATCAGCCTGACAATTTTGAGCACAGAAGACGAGGTAGTAGCTCACTGTTCCGGGACTGTAACTTGTGGACAACTGTACATATAGTTCCGTTTCATTGTCTCCCACTTTGAACATGTGCATGTTTACGCCGAGGTCGGATAACTCGTCGGAAATGGAGCTCACCTTACCAGCTGAGGAACCAGTGACCAAGAAAAGATGAATTCAAACCAAGTACAAATATAAAATAAATCACCTGCGCTATAATGTGTTTGATACATACTTTTTCTACCAACTGAGGTACATGAATTTTATTTTCGTCACTATATACTGGTGGAAATAGATGCACGTTAAACGTTAAATTGGTCTTCAGTAACCCATGCTTGTCGTAAGAAGCGGCTAACGGGATCGGGTGGTCAGGCTAGCTGACATGGTTGACGCATGTAATCGTATCCCAATTGCGTAGATCGTTGATCACTGGATTGTGAGATGAGGTGAAATGGAGTTTAACGTCGTACTTAAGAATATTTCGCTCATATGACGACGTGCATGCGTGTGAATGTGCAAATGCTAGTCCGGACTAAAGCTGGTTTTATAGTGCTAGCCCACTGAGATACCATGCCGCAGTGAAGCATAAATACCCCAGACACATTATACTGACTCCGAGCCGACCAGTCCTTGTTATACCCATTAATCCCGAGCGTCAGGCAGGGAACAACAAGTACCATGTTTTAACGTCTTTTGGTATGACGCGCCCAGGGATCGAACCCGCGACCTTCCGCTCTCCGGAGAACAAATTCTGAACAAGAGTCGTATGACGCTCTTTGAAATCTCGATTGTACCTCAAAGATGATGGCTGTTAGAATATTGCTCAACATATCTCCATAACACCAGATTAGTTTAGCAAGCGTCGACACCGGGATTATGCGGTCAGCTAAACCCCTTGCCTCGGGTAAATGACAATCGTTGCGTCCGAATAGATTATGGATATTTATGTGTAACCGAAAAACCTACCTGTATTGTCATCAAAGAATATATTCACAAGAGGCCACTTCAAAACAGTTAATGTCAACAGAACCGCACATTCTGTAGACGTGTGGTTGCGTTTTCTCGTTCTGGTATCTTGTCTACAAGTTGGCCTTCTTGTAGGTTCCCTCAAACCTGGTGGATACTGTACGTAACAATGGGGATCTTCCAGATATTGATCAACAGAAAGCATGCATACGGCCAAATTCCGCACAACAGCACTTATCGCCGGTTGGACAGCAATACTAGTGTCCATGACGTACAGGTCGAAAACATTTTGGGTGATATACACTGAAACATATGATGGTAGACTTGAATTGTAATCCCACGACCAAGAAGCTAAATATGTAAGCCGGAACATCACGATGTGCCCTTATCAACTTCTAGCGTACATGTTATCAATGAGTAATGATACGCTTGTTTTCAACAGAATAATAGCAAAACATTATAACAAAATGAAATCGTGACAGAAAATATCACTAAAATACTAAATCACCAAGTCTAGAAATATTTTATCGCAAATTTCACATTTTCATTGACCAAATTATTTATCACGCTTTCGTGTACCTGACGAGATGCCTCAACGATCTACACTGAGATATATATTATATGCCTGAGAAATGATCACTAGCATTTTCGGCTGAATTTCATTTCTGCATTAACTTCAAGATTTATAGGAAACAGAGTGTTTGATCATTCAACATTTATATCGAAGTGGATATTAGATGGACAATGCCACCAATGCAAACTTACAACTTAACCATCATTCCAAAGAGGCATCAATTCACGTAACCATAATTCACAGACTAAAGCATTGGTACCTGTTCTCCACAGCTGATATGTATTGTTGCTGCTGATGCTGATCACGGAGACAGACTCTCCATTGTTGACGTTAGCAGTTACTGATGACCTGTCGCTGACCAGATATGCTGCAACAGAGTAAGGTATTTAGCTTCAATTTCAACCTGCATTACATCCTTTCTATAGACGATTCTTATCAACAAACATATTATCATTCATCTTACAAAATAAGTTCTGTGCTCATTTTGAAATATGGAACGTTAATGAAATGGTATAAAATGTAGTACATACTGAAAGGTATGTTAAATTGTCATGTGAAGAACATGTGAAGGAGTTGAAATTCTGTTTCTCATTATGGTGTAAATCATTGACTATAATGGAAGTTGTTTCTGCAATTTCTACAAAAAATACCTTCTTTGATTGGCATTCTAGAAGTTGAGCAGATGAAGAATGTGAACACTTTTTACGGATATACAACTTCTTTATTCTGTATAGGCGACGTTTTGTCATAGATTCACCACTTGCTCGACAACGACATTAGAACATATGTCGAAACGTCGCATATACAGAATTAAGGAGTTGTATATGCATAAAAATTGGCCTCATTCTTTAACAAGTACCACACCGGTGCCTGCCTGTCTGATAATCTACAGCAATGTTCATTTTATGAATTTTAAATGAGAAAAAGTGAATATGAAATCTTACCAATATTTAATCCCTCTACAAAAGCAGAGCAAATGGACACATACAGAAGCGTAAATACAGCCATTCTTGTTGAAGGCTTCAATCCAAGCTGAACTAGCCTTGATTTCCGATCACTGTAAACAAGCCTTGTTTTTCGTAAATTGGTGTTGGACGGTATTCCCTCTGAGGAACGTCAATACTTGACACACGAATGTACTGTAAAATGACAATGTCATAGCTCCTCCTTTTCATGATTGACATTGTCAATCAAGCCACCTCGTCTCCTTGTACTTCTCCTTCTCCGATTTCATTAGTCAGCTGTGGGGCGTTAGATTGCATGCCGAGGTTAGACGCAGCGCTGAATTCTGTGATCGTTCTACGATGAGATTTGCTTCATGTGCTGAATTCAATGATTGCTCGACGGTTAAAGATTGTCTGATGTGCTGAATTCAATTATGGTTCTATGAACGCGGATTGTTTAAGGCCTACAAATAGTCCGTTCTGTGCATTTCGGAGATTGTTTACCAGATTTAGTATACTGACTATTTTACAGTGATTCCAAACCACATGATACATCTGTGAAGATCCGGGTTAGAATTGGTATTCAGCAGGCCAGGCTTGTCGTAAGAGGCGACTAACAGGGCTAACGGGTGGTCAGGCTCGCTGACTTGATTGACACATGTCATCGTATCCCAATTGAGTAGATCGAGGCTCATGCTGTTGATCACTGGATTGTCTGGTCCAGACTCGATTATTTACAGCCTACCTTCATATAGCTGTAATATTGCTGAGTGCGGCCTAAAACTAAACCCAATCAATCAAAACATACAAGGGAAGTTGTCTTTGCTCTTGTAATACGGCCTTGTGAAAAGTTTTTTGTCGAAGTTCAAGCCTAGATTTACTATAATTTCGTGGGTACGCTGTGATCTCGCTGGTTTTTGTACCATGTACAGCTGATCTCAATCTGAAATAGTTCACTATGGCACAAGTCAAAATAGGGAATTGCATCGGACATAATTTTGTCATTGATACGCATGGTTGTGATAAATCCTCCACCTTTTTTCTATAAAAGTTTTGAAAGGCCTCGTTTTAAGTTATTTTGAATTTCTGATCAGAAAATAGGTTTAAGGGAATTGGGTTTTTTTATGGTCATTGAACAATATATCATCTATACACCTGAAGCTTACGTTAAACTTCTTCGCCAGGCTGCCTTGTTTTGATTTTAGAAACCTAGAGCAGGGATTCTGATTACATCAAGAAAGAGCTCTATCCGTACAGAGGGGAATTGGTGCCTATGGGGATGCCAACTTCTCGTCTGTATGTTTTCAGCTGACCTGTTACGCAGATGTCAACAATGATGAAGTAGAGCTTTTTGCATATTGTTGTAACAGTTAACTTTAGATGAGGTTTGCTTTCGATTTTGACAAATTGTCATGACCTCTCACGATAGACACGTACGTATATTTATGTTCACCATGTTTATTAACAAATGCCATATGGGTCAAGGAATGGAGTTTTCCCTTAAATTTAGTGGTGTACAACGTTGAAAAAATGAAGAGTTTGACTTAACCGAAACCAAGCTCTGTACAACCGTGCACAAAAGGGACAAGGAATGGAGTCTTCCCTTAAATTTAGTGGTGCACAACGTTGAAAATTCAAAGTTTGACTTAACTGAAACCAGGCTCTATACAATCATGCTCAAAAGGTCAATCGAATTGCTGCGAACGTTCATCAGGCTACTAAAATCCTAGGTGAGACAACAAAGTGAGACGCCTAATTGACAGAATACTTGAACATAGAGACTCTTCTGGGTTTCATCTTTTTTTTATTGTTTGGTACAACGTTTCAGGGCTTGTTCTGGCCCCATCATCAGGTAAAACCAAAGTATAGTAACTGTTAACTCTGCTCGTGACGTCACAATGCTTATGACGTCACAATGCTATGACGACGCAATGCATGTGGAGGTGACAGAATACTTGACGGCGAATTGCGATTCCTAACTGATACAATACTTCACAACGAATTGCAACGCCTAAGAGACACAATACTTCACAGCGAATTGCGATTCATAAGTGACACAATACTCCAATGCCAATTGCGGCGCTTAGGTGGAACTTATTCAAAGTATAGGGACGTTATGACCCGGAGGTGCGATCTGGTCAAGCTCATTACGCTAATTTAACATGCACATGGCCAGAAACCAAGCCTAACGAACTTTCAAATAAACACTCGCAGCGTGTGTTCTTTTAATGATGTTTACAGGGATTTCAGGATCACACAATGTCATCCTCACAAATATTGACAAACAATTTAATTCACCTGTCGATTTCTTTTACCGCACTCGTCCAGTATCGAACGGCTGCAGATACACAGCTAATTGTCAGTAGAAGATTGACTGTCAATATGTCCTAAGCTCTCGCAGCTCAATCAGCATAATTTCTCTGAGACAGTCGATTTTGTTTACTTTCCATTTATTTCCACGACATTTGGTAAAGAAGCGACTTTTTCCAATCCAAAACAGAAAAAACAGTTTTTGCAAACAGACATTGTTTATTGAACGGGCACATTCCAATAATATTTATCTAACATTCTCTTTAAACGACATGGACTATATATAGGGGACCGCAAAACCACTCACAGAACACATGCCACTGCAGCGTTAGACTCAGAACAAATCAAGTTATCAGAAGGGCGTGGTCGTGTTTCTTGTCTTAAATTGCCCTTTCCATTGGTCTTTGTTTGATCGTCTTGTAATATTTCAACATATTTTCTATCACTAAGGCCGTTACTGCAGACACTATCCCGCCACCGAGGACATAGAAAGTGCTCTGAACGTCTCCAAGTGTTATTCCTTCGTGGGATGTCTTGATATCACAATTGGCTTGTTTTGGCCACCATTTCTCCTTCCAAACACCAATAAGTCCAACGTCCTCCATTTCCATCATTCTTCGAATAAAAATGAATTAAAAACAATACATCGCACGGAAACGTTATTTCTGTATTTTAGAATGTTCGAACATTGGTTAATGACCCAAAATCATATGGTAGATTGCTTGTATCTGTTGGTCATGCTTTTAACTATTCATATCCTTGCAATATGAAAATACTGCAATATTCATATCCTTGCAATGGAAAATATGAAAATACTAGTTACATGTAAATACTCATTGATCTAGTAAATGACTGTATGTAAACCGCATGGACTATATAATATAGCCCATGTATTTCTAGTCTGAATCAATCAGTTGAATAATTATGATATACCATTAAATATAAACCTTCAGTGAAAAGGAATACCCAGTCACCAGAAGTAAAGGTAATGTGAAAGACACTACCTGACTATATATAAGTTTGTTTCCTAACATCGGCACAATGATAGATATACTGAAATCCATTAGAAACGCATCACCCTATCATCATTGATCACGGAATATGCAAAACGAATTTTGAACTAAAGTGCTTGAAGTAATCTGTCTATGAAAGATAAACGCGATGAACACAGAGAAGCACGTGCATCCCTGTGTGATCACGTGACCTACCATTTGCTGAAAATCACTTTTTCCACCTGTAGATCACGTGAAAATGCAAGAAACGTGGCGGTTCCACAACACCTTGACATATCATTCAACTGTATACCAAATTCACACCTTAATTTTGAACAGCACTAAATTGTTTAGTGACTTTTAAGACTTTACATAACGCCATGTTAATCAGCTGTTGAGAGAGAAAGAGCTGTTTGATTTCTTGAGACTGGTTTAATTGTCACAATTAAAAAATCGCCAGGTTATCATCGCTTTTTAACGTAAATGGCGTTAGATACGGTACACTTTCATGAGGAGGGTCATGTTATCGATGAGACGAAGATGTGTACCTGTGCTCGACGCTAATTGTTGGCCAAACACGTCACTGACATTGAGTGTATAAAAGTCTTGAGTGCGATATTTCAGCTGGACCTTTGTCATTGCTATCGTTTATTTATGGTTGCACGAAATGATGAATGACTGTATTTTCCTTTATCTTGTGTTTCCCTCTTGATTGACAATTCTAATGGCAGTAAGGACAATATTATATTTTCTTCATTTATCAGGAAGATAAAACGTTTTATTCCGGTGATGCGTTTCCAATGGATTTCAGTATAGTAATGAAATCAACAGGTGACGCATAATATCTAAACAGAGGCAACACATATTATAGGAAATGTAATTCACTTACGCCTTTGAGAAGATTTGTGCAAGGGGCGATCCTTCTGGGAAGGCGGAAGCATAGGAGACGCGGGCGAAGGTTTCTGCTAAAACCTGGACATCGCATGAGTTCCTGGCACACACAGACACCGCATCGAGTTCCGTGAAGAACACATACGATCCTTCTTGCACCATATCACAATGGACGGCTAGGTCGAACGAGGTCACCCTTGGGTCAGTTCGGTTAAACTCTTTTACACCTTCCCATACCTGCTTGAAGACCGGTTCTGTGGCTGTCTGCAGCATAATCAGTGCAACCCATTGGTTTAATATTTCAGTTACAAAATCATTTGTATTATTTTGACCATCATATGTTGATAAGAGACAAGAAATTATTGTTAATATTATGTTTACAGGTTGGAATATAATGCAGTAGATACCATGTCACAGTCAAACTGGCGAGGCTCATCATTAACTGAGTAACCATTGCCACCCTCTACACACAAATAGCGAATGGGATTTCTCACAGAAAACACATCCCAGTCGAACCAAGCAAGAACTT